GGCAGTTGGGAGGTTGCCGGAGATGATAGATACAGAAGCACCAGAGTGGCCAATGGGGAACCCGTGTTGCAAGCCATTAAGGATAAAGTCAGAGAGGACACGATTAGAAATACGAGGCAGAAGAGTCATTAGGCGGGCTATGTACAGAGGCGTGGGGAGACTACTTCGCTGCGACGGGCTTGTCCGTCTGGCGGGGTCCCCGGCGATCGTCGTCGGTGCAGCGAGCGGCGGGATGACCTCGGTCGCCGCAGGTTGAGCAGACGTGCAAGCGTTCACAGGGCTGGTGTTGGCATGGGCGGCCACGGTTGAAGTTGAGGCAGATCTGGCGGGTGCTGCCCGCCCCGGCCAGAAATGGCTGCGTAGAACGGCTGGTGTTGGTGCCAGCTGGAGCATGTGGCCCTGCCAAATACTGTGGGCATTGGTCACGGCTGTGGTGCGTTGTGCAGCGCGGACATGATGGTCGGGGTGCCCGGATCAGAGGTGCAGGCTCCAGAGGCTTTGGTCGATTGCGTCCCAACGAGCCGAGGTTGTTGCCACCGCTGCACGGAAGGCACGGTCATACCCCAGTACAGCTGGGGTCGCAAACTGCTGGTTGGCAGTACAGATAATGTGCTGGTACGTCACCAGCTCCAGTGCTCGGAATGGCATATGTTTCAGTGCGCAGGCCATGTAGATTGTGTAGGCTTCCAGCCAGGCAGTGAAGTCGACAATGGAGCGCTTCTTAGTCACACATAAATTGAGGGACACACGCCGGCCCTCTCCGTTGGCGGTCCTGAGCTCCAAGGGCTCGGACCCTGCGCCCACATTCTCTGGGAGAAGATCCTCCAGCTCAATATATTGGCCGCGTGTGATTTTGTCAAGCAACTTACGCGGGACCGTGGGAACAATAGAGCTGGACTCACGAGTGTTCGCCATGGGCGCTGCGATCGGAGGCAGCGCGGGTTGCATGAGGGAAATGTCCATGGGGCCGGAGTCGACCTGCGGCGGGTGATGGGTGACGGTGTTGGACGCGGTTTGGACCACATCTGCCACTGAGGGGACCGCCGCCTGAGCATGGCCGTCCGGATCCTGGCGAGCTGAAATTCGCTCCTCAAGGCGCTCGACTCGAGCCAGCAGGGGGTGCAGGGCCGTCGACACGGCCGCCGTAACGGAACGTGGATCTAGGCCAGTTGTGAGTAAGCTGGCCGGCTGGGGAACGGCGGACGGGATATCGTCCTGCTCCGCACGAGCATTGCCGGAACGATCCGCACGGGCATTGCCGGAACGATCGGCCGCATGGTCCGCAGGGGCTCGATTTGGAGTGTCGGCATACGGGGACGACGAGGCGCGCCTGCGACTGGAACGCCTGGGCCCGGGAGCCGACTGCTTACGTGCACGGGGCATGTCCGTGAGCTGTGGTAAACCTTGAGATTGAGGTTGAGAAAGAAATCCACTGCCAATGCGGACAAAGCAAGAACTGAAGTCAGGAACAGTGGACTTCGGAGAACAATGAGCGTGTGAGAGTTTGTTGGGAACAGAGCATGCGCCTTATCTGTTAACATATTTTTGCGCGTGCGCAAAAAATCATATAAATGTGGAAGCGAAAAAAACATGGATACGAGTTAAGAGTAACTCTCCATCACTGTAACATGACACTATTATACAGTTTTCGTAGTTTTTCAGCTCGTTTTCGTTGCGCTTGCCTTCCCCTCTTTGGTCTTTCCATAACCTTGAACCTTCCAAGTTGGAAGGCTGTCGGTTAGCGCTACGGAGATGTGTTGAAGCTAGGTGTCAGGACGTCGAATGTTTCAGTACTCTGTCAGTTTTGTGCCTAGTTATTGCACTTTCTGACTGTATATATGTAGGACTCAGTATAGAGTCCATGCACTATATGATGTCCAGCACCCAATATAGAGTCCATTGGTCCAAAATCCACTATACAGAGTCCAGGAGTCCACTCAGTTTTGATCAGCTTCATCCTGCCGCGCAATCCCCTATAAGTTGTACACTTTTTCTACAAGTCCCCTATTCACGGTCCAGGACTCAGGAGTCCAGTTTATCCAGTCACGCTGTCCTGTGAGTTGTGCCCAAAAGAGAACAAACACCTCAGTTTCAGTTTTGCTTGCCTCGTGGCAGCGCATTCCTTTCTTCACTTCAGCCATGGCTGCCAGTTCTGCTGTGCAGTTGCTGACAGTAATCTCTCTCGAGGTAACCAAGGAGGATAAGGAGACGTTCAAAATCAAATCTGGAAAGCGTCTTGTGGTTCTCCATGGCTGAGGGACGGATGTATCAGTGGTGTGTATAACCTCGCTAATGGCAGTGTCCTCAATGCTAATGGACGCGTCATGTTTTTGTTTATATTTAAAGGTGCAATTGAGCGCTGATGTGGGTATTTCTTTGCTTTTCTTCATTTGGTCCTTTAAAATGAAACGGCTTTTTATTTCCTTTTTTCTTCTTTTGCACCGAGATATTATTTCTTGCTGTTTTTTACCGGATGTGTCACGACTTTGAATTGAATTGAATTTTCCTGAATTGATTTGATTATTAGCGTTATGAGCGGCTTTATTGACATTGCTCTTCAGATTGGATTTTTTATTTTTTATTGGCCCGTAAAAGAGGTTTCTGCCAGCATGTCTTGTGGTTCTCGGAAGACGTTTCATCAGTGCGCGGGATGAAAGCAGAAATTGCAGAACGAGAAATGTTCAGAACAGTTCAAATCTGACGAGTCAGGTAAACCGACACTCTCTTTCGTTCGACGCCACAAGGATCCCCTGTTTGGCTGGCCATTGCTGCCAGTAAGACGTTTGAACGGTTTCATCAGAGCGAGGGATGAAAGCAGAAAGCGGAGAACGAGAAAAGTTCAGCACAGTTCCAATCTGACGAGTCAGATACACTGACACTCTCTTTCGTTCGACGCCACAAGGATATCCTGTTTGTCTGGACAAGAGCTGCCTGTACCACCGTGTCAAAAGGCTGTCCAACTACATGGCAGGACGATGACTGAGGTAAGGAAGCTTTTACTCATTTCGATTGGTCTGCTGTTCTGTCGTAATATGCTTGATTTTTTTTCCATTTTTCAAGGAGTGTATCGCGTTTGTTTGATGTTGCTTGAATGAATGCCCTGAAAGTAATCAACCACTTCGTAATAGTCCTCAAGGACTGCAAGGACTTTGCATCAATCGTATACGATCGTCTAGCTATCATCAAATATTATTTTGTTTCATGAGAAATGTATTTTTATCCCTATGATAATTATGTGAACTCCACGACACTCTTCCTCTACTAGGCTCTAGTATGATGTCAAATACAATGGGATCCACAAACGCAGTGCCAGTGTACTAGTAGTAGTAGGAGGAGGATTCCTTGTATGCCGATGACAAGAAAAAGCTTCTCAAGCTAATACATGTACTCGTATTCCATGAAGTAACCGTTTTAATGTGACAAACATGACACTGTGTCAGTGAAACTGCCTCTGAGTGACAACAAATCATTGCATTTCCATCTTGGGGAAGACTGACAGACGGCAACGCTGTACAGATTGTTCAAATCATCTCATTTCAATTTAGTTGCAGTGAAGTGAAACACTGTGTACACTACATGTATGGTGGTGTGTCTGTGCGTCTTGAGTGTGCACAAACGACCTTATTCCTCGTATTACTAATAGATTATTGTCCCCACCGTCACCTGTTCACAGGTCTTTGAGTGGATGGATTTTCATTGAGCATCACATTTGTTGAGAACTTGGTAGTTGTGTGCTCCCATGCATCATTACGGTAATAAGCGTATCCTTGTGCTATTTATTTGTTGCAGGTGTGCTGATCTTCAGAAGCTTGCGGAACTGAGTGCTGCTGAACATTTGCATGACCATGAGCAATGGTGAAGCTTGCTATTGCAGTCTCAGCATGTGCTAGTATTATGCTGACTACTGCACTATGTTACTCTCTTACACTACTACATGTGCATGTATGTAAACGTGCGTGCATCCTCCCACGGCCATGTATGCATTCGTTTCGTATAATTATTTGTTATCCCTCTGGACTTTACGTGTAAATGGGTGGATGTTTGCATGGCTGTTGGAGTTGAGTGTGTATTGTGTCTCTACTCTGTTCTTGGTGTTTTCTTGGCGTTGTATAAGTTTGTGTGTGTGTGTGTGTGTGTGCCCGCACAATAATTTGAAAACAAATAATTAATCCTTGGCTCTCCATTATTATCTTTCGATTCTTGGTTTTTTTCTAGGTATTTTCTCGGCGTTGTGTGGGTGTGTGCATGTGTGTGTGTGTGCGTGCACAATAATTTGGCAACACTACATGATTGAGATATTGTAATTTGCAGCGTCTGCGAAGAGACCACTTGATGTGAGGATGGTGTTTGTAGGGTTTTTCATGTAATGAAGTGGCTGCAGTGGCGCCTCAATACTTATTTTTTATCTTGAGAAGTGAATGATGTAAAGGATTAAAGGGAGAGGCCGTTTTCTGGTTAATATTCACTGCTTACAGCAGATCCTATGTCTAATTTCGAACTCTGGATAGGGGATGCCTAATTGGCTGGACTTTATACAGGAAGTGTTGTCCACATAAAGACTCGTTATAGTTGATTTCAAAGTTTGGACTCCGTACAGTTGATTTTGAACCAATGGACACGGGTGAAGCCCATTGGCTGGACTCTATACAGGGAGTGATGTTCATCTAAACTTTGAGCTCACAGTTGATTCCAAGTTTGGACTCTGTACAGTGGATTTTGGACCAATGGACTCTATATAGGGGTTGGACATCATATAGGGGCTGTACGCTCTACTGAGTCCAACATATAGTATCATGTTACAGTGATGGAGAGTTACTCTTAACTCGTATCCATATGTCTTTTTCTCTTCCACATCATTATTATTATTATTACACAAGAGAGAGTTTGGAAGCTTTGTCACAACTCCGAGTTTCACGTATCTCTACGATCATCAGGCAACTCATAGCATGAAAAGAAAATCAGCCAGTATGGGACATGCATAACTTCGGGGAAGAACTTACAGACCGGTCATATTGATAGGCAAGGCAGTTGGGAGTCTGGTTTGGTTTCTATAATTGCAAATTACGCTCGGTAACGAACAGCGACAATATTGTGGACATGTCTGTGCTGCAGTTGCGAAGAACAAGCCGAAGCCCATCAGCACCATTAAACAGGGGTGTGAAAGTGAGGCCATCTGAACAGAGACACACAATGTTAAGCAAGCCTTTAAAACATGTTACACGCATCATGCAGTAATATAATGGTAGGGGTACTCCATGACCTCTGGTCAGATGAGCTTCTGTCAGCCCATAGGCACGTCTTCCCTAATTCCCTTCGTTTTGATGTGTTTGTCTTGCCACGTGTACTGTCCGCTCTTCTTTATATTTAATTCGAGTAGAAAGGCTGTGTTTGCTAGAAAATGAACCAAAAATGAACAGATTAACTCTTTTGTGGGGGATTGTGGCATTGAGGAAAGGAGTCACAAGACCATTGGTCGGCGAAACCTGTAGCATTGTAGCATCCCAGTATCACTGCTGGTTTGTGCAGCCCTACTCCAATGCTGTCCGGTTCGGTATTGCTTGGTCTTTCAGTTCCTTAGAACGTTAGTATCTTTTTCCTTGCGAGTTGGCCCAGAGTTGGGTGTGTGTTTCTTCAGGATTAATTTTTTAAAGCATAATGAAAGTAAGGGTGCACTATGTCTTAGTTAAGTTAAGGTAGCTCGAGCCTATACCGCTAAAAAATATCGGAGGTCAAGTACCACTCCTCTGATGAATTTTCAAGATGTTTCTAATGAGCCTGAAGTGTGTCCTTTTTATGAGTATTATCAAGTACCACTTTTGTCGGATTTTCAAACTTTCCGGTTGGAAGCACCATGAGGGCAAGCTGCTAATGCCCCAAATTTTGCTAGTGTTCGTGATTAGGGATTTATTCCCTGTACTTGGGGCCTGTGAAAAACGCACCCATATGTTCGCATTTATGTCGCGAAATAAATTAATGTAAGGGCCTTTCATTTTGTTTCTATGAGGCAGGCTTCTTTCTACCCAACGTCAGCTTTCGAGGTTCGTGAAGTATTTTGTTTTGTGCAGTTAGCAAATTTCAAATGTACCCTAAAGACATCCAAAATAATTTTATTGGCTGTCACTCGGCGAACATGTCCTCAGCGCTAGAAGAGGTGTTCTACTATCTGCCGGTGTATAGTTCTGGCCAATTTAGGACGTAGCTGGCTGTTTTGCCAGCGCTTGTAAATTGGCAATTTTCAAGACGATCATTTGTGGCGTCAGGGGGTGATAGACCTCGTCTACTATGATGCTGGCGTGGCTAAGCGGTACTGCTCCAGGAACTCTTCTAAGGTTAGGCAATGTCGGCTTGATGGAGTTTTGTTCATAGCTTGTTCGTATACGCTGTGGCGTGACTCGTTTCTAGACCCATAAATAATGTGATATTTCGGCCATTTTTGAGGGGTATGCAAATTTTAAGGTTCCCTTCAGAAACTTTTTCAAGGGCTTTGCACAATCGATCCACACCCCAAAGGGAACCTACCTGCAAATTTTGAGCGAAATCGGAGAGATCCACTTGCACACATTCTTTGTTATTCTCAGACATGCTCTCTTAACCCATTGCATTCAACATCTACCTCTCCTCTGATGAATTCCCAACATCACAATATTGGAACGAAACAAGTTTTGTCAGGAACAACTTCTAACTGTTGTGGAGTGTGACTGGTGCAGTGTTCGTGCTGGTGTCTGCAAGCGTCTTCTGGTCTCTTCTGGTCACAAAAAATATCTACCACTTCCATTTGGAAATGCTGATATCTTTGTATGAAGCAAAACAGATTGTGGTTGGAAGCATTTTGAGGTCCTGAATACACACATGTCTCTTTCTTAGAGAAAGCCTAGGCACCCCTAGCTTTACGAAAAAGGTGTCATTATTATTATTTTTTTTTTAAATTTTCACCGCCCACGGCCGCACAAAGTCCTTGGCTACAAAAAAACCAAAATCTCTCCAAATCTCTCCAAACCAAACTTCAAATTCCTTCCCATTTGAATTTGAAGTTTGGTTTGGAGAGATTTGGAGAGATTTTTTTTGTAGCCAAGGACTTTGTGCGGCCGTGGGCGGTGAAAATTTTAAAATCATGACAAGGCTACAGAAGAGTTACGCCATTCTAATTATTATTATTATTTTTTTATACGCATTCCCGCCTTGAAGTATAGCAGCAGTATGCTGCGTCCACAGCTTCGCTTATGCAGAATGGCTTGTGTGAGAAGAGAGGGGAGAGAAAACGACAAGGCAACCAACATCTATGAAATAGGTCACAATAACATGAAGAGAACCAACCTACATTTGCATGATTGCACAAGAATGCAGACGACAAAATTAAACGGCTATAATCATTGTGCCACAAAACCGGTACACAGGAGATCTGTCGACAATGTAACGAAACATAAAACTCAGTTACTCAATACAGGTTCCACGAAATTACAAGAGAACAACGCTACAGCATTAGAATTGCCGCTAAATTATCGCAAGTGTAGAGAACGATTCCAATACAAATGAAAACCATGAACAGATTGCCCCGAAGTTATTTTGGTAACAAATTGTACTACATGTACTTGCTGACACTGACGCTGACGGAACACGAATTTGAGTTGAATACGCACGAAGTCTTGGACATGTACATCATTATGCGCCGGTGTTGTGAAGTAAGCAGATCAGTCACCAATCCAGCTTCAGCTCCGAACTCGCTTCAGAAGAATGTTGCCCACGTTTGCTCCGCCTCCACATAGATAGACGACCAGCGCAGAGTACGCAAGCTCCGTGGCCATAAGGTCTTGATATTCACCGTTAGTACCGTCAAGTATCAGTCCACCTCTCACAGCAAGCCGCTCTATGAAAATCTTTCTCTCTCCATTGGAGTGCCCCCCCCCCCCTAGTTGCGCGAGGAGACTAGAGAAATTCCTCCAGTGAGCGAGGAAGAAGAGCGGAGTTACCCAACTCAACCGAATCAAAAAAGATATAAATAAAAAAAGTGTCAAGCTGGTCAATTTTCAGATAATGTATTTCGGCATTAGCTACTGGAAAACCCACCGGCTAATTTGTGGTAGAAAATACGACGATAAAGATAAATAGGGGTTAGGAGGGAAAGCGATAGAGTAGCAAAAGCAACAGCAACTTCGTGAAGAAAGAGAATACATGTACCACTAGATGTTCCCCCACCCCCGGGAACAGCGATAGCCTGATGTGGGGAGGACCCTAGATACACACTTGAAATGAAATGTTCGCCAGTTTGAGCACCTTTCTGCCAAGGGTGTCTCTAGCTGGCTTAACATTCTTCCCTTGAGGAAGCATGGTTTCAGCCTTTCGAGATGTGACTTCCCCGATGTCATTGCATTGCGGGATGGGTGGCCTCTGAAAGATGTGCCATATGTGTTTGTCTGTGGCAAGGATTTCACTCCAGCACATGCACCAGCACTTTGGCCGAGTGGTTGTAGGCTTGCCTGTGGATCACAAGGTCCCGAGTTCGAGACCCGCGCTGGGAGCGGGGAGCGAGTACTGTGCTAGCAAATGCGGTGATGCATGCGTGAACCACTTTACATGCAGTGAACTGCGCCGACACCCACGGTCAATTGGGTACTCACTACTCGGAATGAGGGTAATATGGATGCGGCTAACGAGGTCGGCCCCTTTGTCGGGCATTGGTTGTGAGACTTACAACCTCACCCTCGCAGTTAGGCGCTGTTGTAAACGTTTATTTAACGTCGCACCACAAACAGGCGATTTCGCCTCCTTTGATACATGTGGACGACAGAAGGAATGAGAGAGAGGGGGGCGGGACAGAAGTATGGAGAGAGGAAGGGTAGAAATAAATAAGCAATCAACCTCAGGGCTAGACCAAAGCAAAAACGGAATGGGAATATACTATATACAAAATAGCTTCATACATATATTGCAACTGCGCTGCATCTGCCACCCTGGTAGCACAGGCATGGTGGTGGTCTGGCACATGCGAAACTTCCTAAGCTGGTTGTGTTTCTCAACGCAATTGTATAGCCGGTGGTAACGCGGACATGAAGACTTTACTTTACATGCCATCTGTTGTGCAACGGCGGGCTTCCTGACCGTCAAGCACAATGAAGTGCGTGACATCAACAACAACTTCTAACATCCATCCTGCGACTGCAATGTGTGGTAACCGATATACATGTAATTATCCTCACGTGGTATGCCTGGTACAAACTCGACCGATTTTTCGCCCAACATAGACTCGTACACCAACAATTTTCAAGATCGAGGCGAAAATTGCCTGGTATGGACGGTGTTGTTGCACAGGTTTCCAACAAATCTACGGTGATTTTCTTGACGCACTCGTTCATCGCCTAGTCTCGACTGGTCGATATTTAGCCGAGAAGCCGGCCGATTTTAGTGCTCGCACTTGATGGAGGGGGATTCGGACCAATCGTTGTACGCTTTTCACCATGACAGCGGAGAGCGGAGGTGCAGACAGTGAACTGGCTGCACTGGATCACTACTAGACACTAGCCTTTGCACTCCTTTGGCCCTGTAGCTGGGGTAAACACTGTCGCATTTCCGCTGTCTACTACGGTCTAGCTCAGCTGTGTACCTCGTATACATGCATAACATACAAGCTTACAACTGTAGTTATTATTATTATTATAGGTTTTTCCGCGTTGGCATCGCCAAGCAAGCTTGACTAGCCTTCGCATAGGCAGCTCCATAATGATGAGACGAAACAATGAATGCATATATATGCCATCTAGGATAGAACAAAGGTTGAGGATATTTTTGAAGAAAGCTGTAAGTGGTTTTGAGGAACACAACGTACTGTACACCAGTGATATGTCATCAGTTCTACCAGGTAGTGTATGCTACCAAAAAAATCGCTGATGATGTGGCTCTGGACTACTCCGACTATCAGCCTGATTTAGTGCGCTCTGTTCTCTCAAAAGCTGTAACACGCCTCGCTGAGTACTTGGACAACATTGGTTTGCTATTAAATGCCAGTAAAACCCAAGTTATGTTTGTGATACTCCTTGGGTGTCTGGATTGGCCATCTGAAGTGAAGTGTGATACCACAGTGCTTGATGTTACTCCATTCACGAAGTATCTCGGTGTCATGCTTGATGACCAACTGTCCTGGAAGCCCCAAGTGGACTTTATTGCCAGCAAGACTGCTACTACAATCGGGCAGCTCTGGCGCCATGGATGGTGCCTTTAACTCAATGCCCGCCGGGCCCAGTACATGAATATGATCCAGTCTGTTCTCTGCTATGCCTCAAACTGTTTCTTTCCCGCTCTATCCAAACTGCTGCTACATCGACTGCTACGCATTGCTAAGTTTAGCATACGAGCCAACTTCCAACTCCCCAGAAGGACCCCCACTGCTCCCCTATTTACCAGACTATCAATGCCTCAGCTCAACCAGCTGTACGTGCAAAGTCTGCTTCTCTTCGTCTTCCGCTGCCTTCATGGCAGAGCCAGCTCACTGTTCACATCCTACTACTCCCTCATTGCCACGGATGTGGACAGAAGTTGTGTTACGCGTGGTCAGGTCAGCCAGTTGCTCAGAGTGCCGTTCCTAGCTGGTCCCTCAGGCCGTACCTTTATCGCCTTTGTTGGCAGTACCACATGGAACTCTCTCCCTGCTGATATTCGCACTTGCGACGTACGCCACACGTTTAAAGCATTGCTGTTGTGCCTACTATGTCTTCTTCACAGATTCTGCCTGAATAGATGCTCATCAATTATGATCTTGTCCTCTATCCTAGTCCAAATCCTGCCTTGCCCATGCATGACTCTCATGAAATGCCCGTACTAAATAGTCTATAGAACAAGATTATTGGATATCATACTTCTCTCATCAACTATGATAATACCCATTTCATACCCCCCCCTTCATAAAATTAATACCTACCCTTTTCTTTCCTTTCATTTCATCTTTTTTTCCGTTCCTTTCTTCTTCATTCACATTTTAAACATTTTCATCATATTGTGAGAGCCGTGGGCCAATAGCCCCGGTGAGAAGGCAGTCTTACCTGTTCATAATTATGGTGAAGTAAAATAAAGAAACAACAACAACGTTTCAAACTCTACGAAAGTAAACTGCAAGAAATGTTTTGGGGTTGATCTCATGATGTTTGTAGTCACAGGTTGTGTTAGTAACATTAAAGGTTGTGTTTTCACAGGTATATTGTTTACATTCCTATTCTTTAACAGGATAATATTTTCACAAAATATATTAGTCAATGAGTTATGTTATGGTACACCGCACAGCCATGCAGCTGCCACAGGTGGAAGCAGTATTAGGCTTTGATGCATGCTTTTATCACATTGCTGCATATGTCTTTCCAGTCTTGTCGTGACTTGGCGATGGCATGGAGGTTCTCAAGTTCCTCGCGTTTCTTGAGTGACCCCCCCCGATACGCTGCAGGTCCTAGTGCAGACTCAGTGGCAGAGTGGTACATGGCCGGCCCCGCCAGGTGGCAGCGGAACTTGGGTTTTCAAAGTACGCTGTATAACAACTGTAGTACAAGCGAAATTGCCAACCGTTGTGTTTGAACAGCTAGTCCAATTACTACCACACAGTTGGTCGATTTCTTGTCGGAGTAGGGGTGGGAGTATCGGCAGGAAAATAGGCCTAGTTTTTACCAAGCATTAGACATGCGATTTTGTCAGGTCTGAAAATCCTAAGTTTCCCGCTGATGCCTCTCAATAGAGAGGTTGCGCGCAACGGAAATTCGTAGCGCAGTAAGGAATAATTATTTTGAACGAATAAATGCTAACGAGTGTTCGTAAACGGGGAGGTTGCGCACAACGCATGAACCTTTTCGTAGTGGGTCGACGCTGCGGCCGCGCGGGTGTGAAGATTCAAGACAATGAGTTGTAAAATATACGTATTTTAGTACTCCATGTAACGAAAATTATTTTCGTAGATCTGCTCTGTTTCGGTCGCGTTTGGACGGATGTTTGCAGCAACTTTCGTTACTCGAATCTGCCATGGGCCTGTGCGTGCCAGTTTCCTATTCGGTTGCGAGGTGGGGGCGCTTTGCTTGCAAGGGTGCTGTATTATGGAAAGCCCTCCACAGTGACATCCGTGCCATCCATCACGCTCGGCAGTTTCGCACGCAGAAAATCCCCTACACCTGTGCCCTGTAGATGCTGAAGACAAGCGAAATCTTCTGTTTTTTTCTGTTCTCTTTCTGTTGTACCCAATCTCCCTCTGATGTACCGCTGCCTCTACGTTGAAGATCAACCTCTCTATTGCCCGAGTGGGAACTGGACCTGATGAACCCCGCTATAACCACGCCATGTTTAGTGAGATCTATACTCCAAACACTCTGTGCCACTGATTACTTGATCGACACATCATCCATTAGGTATCATTCTGTTGTATTTCGCAGAAGTAAGCGTGCTTTGATGAGAAACAAAGAGTTGCCTTCCTGCCGACCTTTTACAAAAAAAGCTTCACGAACTTGGGTGAACAATAAGTGTGAATACCTACTGTAACTCACCTTAGCTGAACCCAGCGCCAACAACGTCCAACCTGGTATTCCGAAATCTGGATTTTCCTAGAGATGTCGGAGGGAATGACAGGAAAACTAGCAATCATGCTGAGAAAAATGTACTTGGAAATGTCATGTAGACCACCAATGATGCTAATCAAATTTTGACAATCGCCAATGCAATCTACTAGACAGCAGGTGATTATTTACCAGCACGCACCTGTCCCTCTCCCTCCTTTCTACCGATTAAGCGTGGCCACCAAAAAAGACTTCAGAAACGTGTGGATCATTTGTCACTGAACATTCAACAACAAAATAGAGAGGCTCCGTCGAAGGCAAGGTAGTTGTTCTGAGAATCTGTGAATCTGTACTCTTGTGCTTCTCCCAGACCATTTCAAGAGCAGCCTGCAATCACAGCTGCTGCATTTAAATTAACACATCGATCGGGCATCATGGTTAGTGTACTCGTGCTGCTGTGATTCTTAGGACAGACGATTCAATCTGTCGTTTTGGCTCCAACCAACTACATTTGAGTTCCTTCTCCTTATTAGTATATGAGCGTTTGTATGAGTGTTTGATCATTTGATCCCATCTGCTTCGCTCAGTTCACTGAAATCAGCAGTATCAGTATGTTATCAGATTTCTATACACAATGCCAAAGAAGAGAAATTATTGCGATCGAAAGGCTTTTGCTCAATCGCAGTGGCTACTGTGTGTCGACATCTTTTGTGTTGCGCATATGTGTGTATGTGTGTATGTGTGTATGTATATTTCTGTGTGTGTGTGCGTGTGTGTGTGTGTGTTTGTGTGTGTGTGTGTGTGCCTGTCAACCTGTCAGAAGGCTACCTTCTTGCCAAATCATTTGGAAGTGGGACTAGTTTCGGCTCCACAATCCAGTCTGTCGTTACTATAATAGCGTTCGTGGCTGAGGTTGTTGGTAAGTCTGTTGGCTCTGGGTTCCCATTACTCAGTAGCCGAGGCTGTTTTGTAAAGTAAGTCCAATTTCACTTCAAGGTACCAGTGCATCTAGTGTCTGTTTCTATTAAAGCCGCGTGCTGTCTATGCTGGTTATCCCAGCAGGTGAAGGGTGTGCAGAGGTAATTGTCCCAAGTTGGTCGTTTATGCCAGTGTACTCCGTGTGGTGTAGACCAGGTGTGCATTGGCGGTCGATTCACATGACTTCGCCAGTTGTGTGGATTACACAGTTATCTGGCGCAAGTCTTGATCTGTCTCAATCAGATCTTGCTCGCTATCGTTGCTATTAAGAGAAAATCTGTCGGTGCACATCCAGTGCATTTGAAGATCTGCGTGCTTTTCTTGTGACGGACGTATACATGGATACATGGTGTATGTGTGTGTGATATGTATGGTTTTACGCTGCTTCATTCTTTCGGCAATACATCCCAAAAAGACGACACTTTATTCGTCGCGAGGGAGGTGGTATCTTGCTGAACGCTCGTATGACTGATGCGTGGAAGGGTTCTCGCTTACTTCCCTCAACATCGGCACAAAACCAACGTTCAAATCGACTCATGCTGTGAAAGAGCACTTCTAGAATGAACGTCAACATACCGTCAATGAAGTCGACCAGCGCGATCAAATTATTGTGTTAGGAGACTTCAAAGCACGTGTTGGTAGCTTGAAGCCGGAGGAAGACTGGACAGGCACTGTTGGGAAGTTTGGTCAGGGTGCTGGTTACACGGCTGGAGAAGATCTTCTCCAGTTCTGCGAAATGAGGGAGCTTACCGTCGTGAACATTGTGTTCAAGAAGATAGTCATACGTCTTGGTACTTGGATTCACCCAGAAACTAAAGCATTCCATGCTATTGCCTTCATCAAGCTGCATAAGATCAGGTCGTACAACTGTGTTGATGCGAGGGTGATCCGCAGTGCTTCTTGTTGGTCAGATCACATGCTAGTTCGTGGGAAGTTGGTGTTTTATGCCAGAGCTTTCCGATCACAGAAGTCGTTATCGTCCCGCCGGCGTCCACGTACTTCTGATCAGGTGCGCAGCAAAATTAAACTGCGGAGCAAATATCAAGATCAGATCAATGCTAACACACAGCTGCTGTGTGACCCCTCATTCATTTATTACTTGGACCCGGAGGAGGATTGTGCTCTGTGTTCCTGAGCAACTGATTTCTCGGCAGCTTCATGCATCACTTGGCGAATTGCGGCACCTAACGGCGAGGGTGAGATAGTAAGTTTCACGACCAATGCCCGACACTGGGGTGAACCTCGTTGGGCTGTGTTTATAATGGCTGTATTATCTGTCCTGAACTGGCTCTAGGCAAGAAAAATGGCTGATGCTTGTGTAAAATGTGCTGTACTTGAGCCGTCGTTCTTTACTGATATACATTCTGATAATAATGAGATGCCTTCTGTTGGCTCTTCTGCTTGGATTGCATTGACATAATGCGTTAAGCCCATGCTCCTTCCATGAGTGACATGCGAACTGAAACGATAAGGATTATTTTTATCTGGATCGCAAGAAGGCGAACTGTACCAGTTGGATAGTCAAGTATGCTATTTATCAAAGGGTGTTAATCTGACTTTGGAAAATGCATTTTTCATTGCTATCAGGCTTTGCCTTATCTTCTCCGTGCTGCGCTGATAAGTCCACAGAGTACGAATCATCTGTGCGCAGATTGAACATAGCAGTATTGTACTATAAATGCGGCAGCCATCACCCAACAACATGGAAGTCGCAAAGGATTTGGAAAGTATTGATGAATACCTGTTGTGTTCAGCGGTGGATGTTCGTGTCCTAAGGATATCAGTGTACAGAGAAAGGGTTGTGTTTAGTAGAAAAAAAGCTGTGCGTCCAATGGAGCGGTTGTATTGACATTGTTGTGCAGTATGTGGTCGTGTTGCAAATGTAGTGGGAAGGTTTTGTGGTCAAAAGCGTGTCCCACGTGCTCCACCTTTTGCATGGTCCAGTCCCCGCCACCAGCATTCAATGCTTGTCCTCATGTAATTCAAGTCACCCCCTGCTCGTCCCGTTCGTGTCCGCACTTTGTTTCAAGCATGCAGTACTCATATCATCAATACTCATGTTCTCAGGTTTTTCTCTTCCTTTTTTACAGTCTAATTTTCCTTACCAAAACCTCCCTTTGGTGAATTCATTGAGCTGCGGAGCCGAGAACTCTGGTATCCTGAGCTGAATAAGCCCGACCGCCATACTCCTTTATACACTTCAACGTTCGGAGATACTAGGTATGTGGATTTTGTAGATATAATAGAAGGAAAAAGCTCGACTTGAGGTAGGGAAATTACTGATTGAGTTTTAGGAAAGGCCTCAGTATTGTAGTATTCGTGGGACCCAACGATTGCAGTGCAAATAGCCGAAGCCAGTGGATTCTAACAACAAGGAAAGTATCCTGAAACAGGTCCAAAATAATGAAAACGGTAAAAATAGAAGAATTAAGGTTCCAAAAAAGAAGAAAAAGTAGGCAACGTAGCGGATAATGAGTAAGAAAGAAAAGACATGTACTGTTAGCCTAGGTGATGTGTAGGGAAGAAGAAATTTAATTTTAGCAGCTCAGAGTCCAAAGCGTGAGTGCAGACTGTGGCGAGTTAGATTCTGAATATTGTGTTCACGTCGGTGATTCAGGGTTGGACTTCGGTAGAACGGGTGCACAAATAGACATGCGTGCATCCAGAACCAAAACTTGTACTATCATCAAAAGGTGAACGTCGACAGGTATATGTTTGTTTGAGTTAGTGCGAAAAGAAACTAAGAAATACACTTTAACGCTATTGGTTCATGCATGAGCCATAACCAGCATTATTAGTCAATTGGAGGACAGCGATAGGTCACAATCAGTTTATATGTACCAAAAATTATATGTGCAGGAAACGCAAACCGATAAAAAGGATATAAAGAAAGCAAGAGAGAGAGAGAGAGAGAGAGAGAGAGAGAGAGAGAAAGAGAACGAGAGAGAGAGACATTAATTTTGGATTGCAAGACATTCCACAATATCAGTGCGTAGAACGTGAAAAGGATACGAATGTGCAGCCGCACATCCGTCCACCGGCACTATCATTCTACGGGGTCGGCCACATCTGAGCAAAATTGATAACATAATAATTATAATATTATCGTAAACCAAATCACCAGGCGGTTTCTCATTGCCCGGTCGTGGAGGTGTACAATAGCGAGTCGTCGTGTCCAGCTCCTCCGTAGCACAGTAGGCCCCATTGTTCACCATCTGCTCTATCTCTTCTGCACTCTCGTACACTTCATGGCCATCATCACACTCATTTGGTGGCAGGAATTAGGGGACCGGTTGTAGCTCGCCCATAACTGGTGGCCCCGAGGCGCAGGAAGTGTCTTCGGAAGAAGCTGTGTGCATATGCTCGGAGCAGATGGCATCTGCTGCGCGTGTGAGACGAGCTGAAGAAAGAAATGCTATGGGAAGGATGCGATCCTATTGAGGCATCTCCACAATATGACAATTCGTCATTGCGATTAATGATGCAGGGAGAGCAGCTAAAATAGAGATATGAAGGTAAAATCATGCCAGTGGAGTGTATCGTTTTAGCAAGTTTCGCGAAAAACGAGCGGGCAGTCCAAACGGAAGCGTGCTGGGCCCATAACCCAGACGTCGATGGATCGAAACAATCCTCTGCTACCAGTGTAACCGGTCAGGACTCGAGTATAGGAGAAAAGAGCGATTCCAAGCCTTACAGAGGATAATGAAGGATAGAACATGAGAAGGCTGCAGTGGGAGAAGGTGTGAGGGTGATGCAGTGAGAGATAACAAAGGGAAAGGGGAGCGAACTGCCACAGAACGGGTTTTAATTGAGCCCAGAAAGAACAATCCATGACTGGTGTTCTTCAAGTAGTTAGGGAGCAAGCCTAAACCAAAAATATGACAGAATGAGTAGAGTTGCTAAATCATAGAGTCTCATAAACACAATCGTCAGCTCTCTCACTGCCACTCTGACCTTCCGAAGGCCTGCTGAGGTTTACATTCACCCCGTAGGCTTCATTATCCATCAGGTTACCGATATCCCCCGCAAACCCACATGAGGCATCGAGAATACTTCCACTTGCAGTTTGGTTGGGCGTCATTTCAAGATGAGGTCCAGCTGATTGATCGTCGTGCCTCGGATTTGAGTGGCATTGGTCCATTCGTTCATGACTCGCGAACAGTCGCAACGCATTGGTGGCGTTCAGGGATATGGTAGGAATCCTGTGGCTCCTTTCCCGTCGAGACTTGACCAGAAGTATGGTCAATATTCCTGCAATGACCAGCAATACTCCAATACCAGCGTACGCAGCTAGGCTTGAGATAGAGGCCGCTGGAACGGTCAACGGGGTATGGCTACCTGTTGAAAAAGACACCACTAGACAGAGAGAGGCAGAGCCATAGAGAGAGAGAGAGAGAGAGAGAGAGAGAGAGAGAGAGAGAGAGAGAGAGAGAGAGAGAGAGAGAGAGAGAGAGAGAGAGAGAGAGAGAGAGAGAGAGAGAGAGAGAGAGAGAGACAGAGAGAGACAGAGAGAGAGAGAGAGAGAGGAAGAAAGAGAGAGATAGAGAGATAGAGAGACAGAGAGACAGAGAGACAGAGAGACAGAGAGACGGAGAGACGGACATAGACAGAGAGAGACAGAAAATAAGGAGACAAATACTCAATTTACGGACAGCATGGTGATAGACAGATAGATAGATAGAGTTACAGGTTGATAAAAAGGAGCAATTGCCTTTTCACGTGTAGATAGATAGATAGATAGAGTGAGAGAGAGAGATATAGGAATTTACATGCCGTGATAGATGAAAGGAGTTAAAACAGCAATCAGTAGGTAACGAAGTAGCGGTAAGGCATCCGGCTGCTTCATAACCCGAAGAGAATCTGCCAAGGAGCAGTTATTTACACTAATTTGGTGTTCTTAGGTGTTGATAATATTTCTATGACTACACATGTTACCTCCGTGCTAGGAATACGACATGTCTTAAACTAGTGAAAAATCACAGGTTTCCACCGACTCATATGCTGGGTGTTGTTAATAAGTTAGCACAGCGCAGATGTCACCAGATAACTTGAGAAATGTCTGAACATGTTTCTCGCAAGGAATACACGAGTGACCATGTCAATGCTTTCCAGAAAATACTGTTACCTACATAACCAGCGTGGTGTGATTGTAGTGAACAGCAGTTAAACCATGTTTTTTAATTGCTAAGGTCATCATGTGTGTTATACGAATTGGTAGAAACATCTTTGCAATACAAACACATTTGCACTACAATCGTTTTGCAAGATGTTTCTCTCAGTTCGAATAAACACATTACCTAGGTAATTTAAAACAAAGCATAGCGAGGGCTCCCGGGCTTTCAAGCTCTCTCGTGTGCAAAGAAGACTCGTCCTAAAGACATATGTAGGTTTAGCGATGGGGAAAGAATAGAATAGAACATTTCTTCAGATTTTCCCTTTTCCATTCTCGCAGCCAGTGGAAATGCCACATTTTGGAAGCCTTTGGTGGCTTCTTGAGCCACTTTATGTTGCCAGTTGCGAGGTGCCATACCGGAGTTATTTCCTGCGTTGCTTGGCTGAGTTGTACCAGTGGAAATGCATACAAAGGAACCTATGGTGTCAACGCATGTACGGCCATTGCCACATGGTTGGGAGTGGCATTCTTGAACGTTTACACAGTGTTCTTCACCTAGGGACACACGGAAATGGAACATAAAATACGGAACAGGTAGCGTGGCTAAAAGTCGTTTATAGTGAGAGAAAATAGTACACGCGTCCGAAAACATGCTAAAGGGGTATTCACGCGACAGGCAAATCCACGTGCACCGGAAAGTTGCTATGGTATTTTACCTGTGAAGGAGAAAAATGGCTGAAAAGTGCAAGCGAGCTGGGGGCCCGCTTTCAAGATAATCGTGGCGTGCACGAGTACATTTACACCAAAAAGCTCGAACCAAGACTTGATTTTTTACGCGGCTCTTTAGAGCATGATAATTATAGTATGCGTGGATTGAAAATTTGAAATACCCATGGCTACTGGTCGGTGAAGCATTCAAAAATGCAAACGTGCCTGTCGTCGACGCTGAGTGTAGCTGGGTGAATCCACACAGTCACTTTTCTCGTATGTGACTCCCAGTAAAACTTGCAAGTGCCTGTCATGTGAATACCCCATAACAACGTACATGTGAAGGAAGAAAAGGACCACTAGGTCCCGACATGTTTGTAGCCTGGAATTGTCGTTGCGGAACACTGTGAAAATAGAGGATGAAGTCTATAGCTCCTACATGTAGGTCAGGTAAACTCACACAACTTACAAAGAAGCCAATCCCGTCTACTGTCACCGCCGACGTAGTTACTTTTAGGTAATATTCTTGCTCCCCATGCGGCCCTATGACTCGTTGCTTGAGGCAACAGTTTGTTGGAGTTCCACAAGAAGCGCATCTTCCTCAGCCTATTCAAGCTCAACTGATGAGGGGTGAATTCGTCTAACGCTGGGTGTATTGCTGGGATTGGTGCTGTCTTGGATTGGATATTTCTTCGAGAAGAGCTTCCTCGTGTGCTCTTGAAGGCACGATTCAATATCCTGTCACGTGCCAAGTCCAGCATGGAGCGCGAACTCCTTAAAGTGGAAACCGACTTCGTTTATGATTATCGCCAAAGACGCCACTTCCAAGTTAATGCTAGATTCGATCAGAATAATGTCAAGGTTTACTAATATTAGCGCAAGGATTACTGTTTAGCACGCCTGCTGAGGAGGGGTTTGGCCTGGAGACTCAGTGCCGGCATTAAAACGAGCACAGAATGGCGATGTCCGAAACAAACAACACGGACCCCTAAATCCAGGAAATGAGCATTAACCTTTGGACACTCGAGCACCAAATTGAGGTTATGCGGATGATCTTATCGGTATTTTCAAATGGACACAGGTGTTCGAGCAGGAGTCAGCAAATTTCGAATGGGCACTGCAAGTAAGCAGAGTGAGTCGCTAGTGCAAGTACAGTTTTGTGCCACGAGTCGGCGACTTCACCACACCATCTCTATTGATGGTATTATTGTAATGCAATGTCCGCTGCTTGTTGTAGTTTGAGCACTTTGGCGCTAGAGCGACGAGCTAGCTGTCTGTGGTGCCTCCTTTGCACCATGGCTGGCAGCTCGGCCTATTTAGCTCATAGCTGTACTGATGAGGCCTTTATGGCCGAAACAGCTTGCTGACTACAGCATTGGGTATTTTTGTATAATTTCTATAGGAAATTCGGAGCACGGTTTGGTGGAGGCGTGTTACTGTTAGGAAAACAAGGTGCTACAATGCGCTGCGCTTCAGCAATTTGTTGTGAAAGCGCACCATGTCTTTTACATTTTGTAAATTCGTCGTTCTAGTCCAAACAAACTTACCGATTGCTGATGGATACTTTGATGTCATGAACCCTGGGTGGCATGCACAGAAGTAGCTACCGAGTGAGTTGATGCATCTGCTGTTGTTACCACAAATTTTATTCATAGTGCCACAATCATCAATGTCCGAACACATCCAGCCATTACCTATTATATGCGTAGGGTCACAAAACAGAGATGCTATTGTCTTGCGAAATCTTGCGAATGCGCTCAACCCAGGAAGAGAAGCCCACCATAAAAGTAGACTTTTCATTTGTTACGCCCAGGTGCAACCCAGCACCTTATCTGTCTAAAGACTTGTCCCTTTGCCATGAAACTCGTCATGTTAAACAGAAATGCCCCCCCCCCCGTACAGTCCAGCAATCCTCACATAGCATTACAGATGCATCGTATTCCCCCCCCCCTCCTCCCGTTTACTTTCAATTGTTAGTATCTTAATCTCTGACCATGTACTTCCAGAGCCACTTCTAGGCTAAGGGTTCGCCATCATGTTATTATAATATCAGGAAATCTGCCATTGATGTGAAGAAGGATGATCTGCTGCAAGGATGATACCGTCAAACGCCAACCATGTTGTCAAGGTCTGAATGGAAACGTCCCTTTAGCATCTCACATTTCGTCATTGTACCACACACCCCTCTCTACTTAACGTCAGCTTTCGAGGTTCGTGAAGTGTTTGTCTTGTGCAGCTAGCAATTTTCAATTGTGACGTTAGACATCCACCATGATTTTGTTGGCTGTCACTGGTAGTCTGCTTTACACCCATCTTTGTCACCACGTCAGTATACTTTGTGACGTGTAGTTTTGAGCGCAACCTATTCCGTGTACCTCTCAAGTATGCATACCCACCTTTTCAGTGCATTTCTCCTGGTCGGTTGTACATGCAAATTCAGACACTCAATTCCATACGGCTGTTGTGTTGTTTTTTACATACGCTCTCGCTTGCTTTAGTTAAAAAGGCCAGGTTCGCTCCTTGTACATTGTTCTGACAATGGGTGACTGGCCCGAAACGTCAATAAATTGTCGACATCATTAATAAAAGAATTTTCATCTAAAGAGTGAATAGCAACGAAATAGAACGGTTGTCATTTGACAAACCCCCTTTTATTAAAAAAAACTTGATAAACAAAATAATATACACAGTATAGAAGATCAGAAAATTACGTAACAAGGCGAGACTCAGCCACCACGACAGACCTATCCACAAAACCTTGCACGGTGAAACCCCGACGAGAACGAGCGCCACGGATATAAAGATTACTGGATCTCAGTAAGGAGAAAGAGAGACGGGCACGCAGCAGACTCATGACAACGGAGTATTCGCTACCAGAAGACTCACATTGTAAGCGACAAAGAAAGACGTTCAAAACATCCGTGCACAACGGACTACAACCACCGTGGGTACCGAACACTAGAGAGGTGAAAGAACCACGCTCTATAAGTAGCACAGTAGCCGCAATTCATCCTATTTGATTTGCGAGTTAATTGTTCTCACACGCATTGGTCTTTGCCCTTGCCTTCCTTGATACAATTCACACTTGTCTTATTTCAGTGCTGATGTTTAAGGTGTTATACCTCTTACTTTTATTTTCTATAACAGTTCAATTGTGTTCAGTACAACGATGATTCCCGTTGTGTGTGGTACAAAACGTGTTGGAATCATATTATATATTTATAGTAATGGCCTCTTCACTATTTGTTCCTGCTTTCCTCGTTTTATTGCACATTATGTATGATTGTGCAGCTCATGTCTATTAGGCTCACCTGTAAAACCCACTTTACACTTGCAGGTGTAGTTGGCAATAGTATTGTTGCACAAAGCGAAGGTGTCACATGCGTGAGTCCGTTCTGCGCATTCGTCTGCAAGCTCACATAGATGACTGCCGAGCTTCAAACCTGTTCTGCAGGTGCACTCGTACGCAGATAATTGCTCGTTTAGCTGGCATATTGGGTACTGGTTGCATGCTCCTGCTCGGTTATCAGGATCACAAACTGTTGTGTTCACACAGTCGTTGCCATCATACACCAGATCTAATGGACATTGGCAGAAATAATCTGTCTTGCCTTTGTTGTTGTAGCATTGAAATGCAGATAATCCACCGCACATGGCCAGCACTGGAGTTTTTGTTGTGAAAAGAAAAGTGCAGTCGAAAATAGCAACGTTGAGGGCTGAAATTACGTAACCTTAGTCTACTTCAGTATTGCGTGGAAATGCAAGTTGTTACAGCGGAAAAAAGGCCAAATAATGAGAGGAAAACCAATGTGGGTAACTATAGATTGTAGATTTGATACACGGCTTCACGATACAATGATAGGTGAACGTATAGTATTGCAACCACAGTTAACTGAGGTGCGGAACAATTGACTTTCATGGAGAAATGCGATTTTTGTCGACTCAACCATCTCCTCTAGCGCCTCTCACACAATACTTAAATGGACCAGGTTACTAGTTTAATTTACTCCTAGTTTTACGCCAAAGGGCGATCACCAGGCAAGACTTTGTTCCACTTTTACTCTTGTGTGCCGGCAGCTCTGCACGTTCGATTGTGTCTTGAGCAGTATGGCAGTAACAGAACAAGCGTGTGACAGCGTTCATTGACACCGAGGGTATAATTAGACCAGGAGTCCGAGTCAAAGGTCTTCCCTCAGTATAGCGAGTCCATGTTGTACCAAAAACATCGTTAGTAAAATGAATATAGAAATCTGACACTGCTGGCAAAACTTGGTCCATAAAATTGATTACATGCCCTTAGAATTGAGAAAAGCCATCTACAGACAGGTACAAATCAGTGCCTGTTTCATCTTTTGTTGCAAGTACTGCCGGGAGGTAACGGTAAATCTCATTAACCTGTATATTATTATGATAACGTTCATGTAATAGACAGCTATCTCAGGTCTACTGGCTGCGTATAGTGTTTTATGGCCAGTGGACAGAGGCAGTAAAATAATGCTAGCACAGCAATGACACAACCAAGTCTTTTCTGCCGTTACTCAGAGTTTCGTGTTCGGAAAACTCAACAGACAGCATGACACGTTCAATAAACATTCTCTCTGATGAGTGTTTCCAAACACAAACCTCTGGTTAACGGTAGAAAAGCAATTGGTTGCGTCATTCCTGGGTGAGTATTTATTTTATTTATTTATTTATTTATTTATTTCTGCACCTCGTGGCATGTCAAGACAGCCAATTGAATTGAGGAGAGGGTGAGACCAACCACGGAAGAAGAGAAAAAAAGAAAATTAAGAGCACGTACACAAAGTGGGAAGGGATTAGCAACTTACAAAGCAATGGGATGCTCAACGAGCTATGCAGCGGAAGTGGTGACTGTGACTTTGTTTACTGGGAGATACCGAAGTGCTGTCTGACGAGGGTACGGAATTTGGGCATATCTGGAGCTTGTCTAACACTGGGAGGCAGTTGGAGCCACGTGGAGTAGGAGGAAAAGAAAGGGGAATTTACGAATAGGGTAGACCTAGCTAGGGGGAGACGAACGCAGCTTCGGGTGGTGCCACCTGAATTGAACCAATCAAAGGACTGTAAATGAGCAGGGTGCTGGTCAAGGAAAATTGAATGCGCCAGGGTGCACTTGGAAGCATCAAGGTAATGTTGCAGAGTGGTAGTGGATGCAGCAGCATACAAGTCTAGATTTGAGGTATAACGATCAGTACGGAATATGATTCGCAGTATACGGCGATGGAGAACTTCTAATTTACCTATGTGGGTTTTGTTAATGGTGGACCAGGCAGGGAAGCCGTACGTGAAGAGGGGAAGAATGTATGATTTATAAAAATTAATCCGGCAATTTTTGGGCAAATGGGACAAGTGACTTGACATTATGCCGACAGATCGGCATACTTTGGACGACACATGATCAGCATGGTGAGACCAGGAGAGGGCGGAATCTATGACAATGCCAAGGTGTTTATGGTGGGGCGCTACAGAGATAGGGTGACCGGGATCATCGGGAAAGTGGAAGATGGGCACTGGATCTGTGGGAGGGGGAAACAGGAGGAGCTCGGTTTTGGTCACATTTGGCTTAAAACCGAGCTCCTCCTCTCTGTATGATAACATAATGACAGCCCAGTGGTTTTCAACTATTGAGGAAAAACGCGTACTGACTCCGTTCACCCACGTATTGGTCGTTCAATTTGTAAAGGACTTCCAATGGCCCAGTGGTACACACTGCCATGCCATAGGATATAGTAGTGGTGCGTGGCCGGACTTTACTCACAGTTCCGGGCAAACTGCAGAGCATCTGGATCCGCAAGCAGTTCGGTCACGTGTCGCATGGCAACGCCAAGTGGACATGAACTCAAAAGGGTCAGTTTCAATGGATTTACTCGGATGTATCTGAAATCACACAAATTGGAGATTTATGAAATTGAGAAAGAGTTTCTGGATTGTCATCGAGGTAAACTAATGCCTCTTGTTTACTACGTCATGTTCATACGTCAGTACTGTAAAGAAGAACAACAATATTGTGTTATTATATCACTCCAAAACTCACTTATCGTTCTTCTGTACAGGATACACTATTATTCAGTCACAAATAACCACCGATGAACTTGGTAGGAAAAAAATCTCATAATTATTATTTATTAAAATAATAGTGGTCGCGAGCTCCAGTGTGGGAGCAAATCCATTCCTATTATTATTAATTTTATAACCATTATCATTAAGCTCTGCCGCGTTCAAGTCGCTGGATCCCATTCGGTCCACCCACAAGTTCGCTCAGGCCGGATAGATTAAAGTAAGGGGATAATGATTTGATGATAGCAGCGTTAGTCAGTGTCGCTCATGGATGTTCACGAGGTGTTTTTTGCGCTGGAAACGGAGCGTGTCTGTAAGTTTGTATCCCTGCTGATGTTTGTGCCTGGAGAGCACTGTGTATGTGGTGCTCTTCAGGCAAAATCTTCCTCAGGCTACTCAAGCTCAGCTGATGAGGGGTTAATTCCCCGAAACACTGTGGATTGAGTAGGGAGTGGTGCTTTCTTGCAGGTTTGCTGAGTAGACAGTTCGATGGACTTCTCGTGTGCTCTGGATGGCAGTCGTGAGTCAGGCAAGTGAGAATTAAAGTCGGCAGAAAAACCACGAGCTCCCATGTAGAGAGCAACACACTCTTCCCCTACTATCGCCGAAGTCGCACCAACCTCTTCTTCAAAACTAAATCTAAAGTTAATGAAAAGAAAATGCAACTTAAACCGAACTCGATGAAGTCAAAGTAAATGAACAGGACCCCAACCACCCGCTCAAGGAACATTTGCTCTGTAGTACTTCTGTTCGCTGTTCTCTTATAATTTGTTTCTGTTTGGTGCTCATGAGCAGTTTTGACAACTAAGCCTTTGGTCGGTTTAGCTGCTCCTGCTCCACGGTCTCGGCTGCCATCGCTAGGTGCCTCCCTGCGCGTTTCTTTAAGGCGTTTGCCCCATGATGGCTGTGGATACAGCGTATCTTGAACAAGTAGAACTAAAATACCAAAGCGCAACAGCATGTAGCACTTTGACCAGTCTAACAGGTCAACGGTAAACGGGTTCAAACGAGTAGTAGAACAATAATGGTGGTGAATCTGTGTGATCTATGCTGAGTGAGGAGTGCCACTATACTGCCATTATCATCTAATGCTCGATATATCTGGTGCTCATAGTTCCGCTCATCGGCACAGCATACTTGGTCAGAGCAGAAACCAATCCATACAGCCTCAATTTCGGTAAATACTCACAGTTTTGTCAGATTTTGGTTGGCCACGAACATGTTAAAGGGAAACTCAGCCAGATTCGCCAATTCCATTTCTCTGAACATCAGCATAGAGAACAAAAGGCGAAGATATGTAGGGATCCGTGGTAGGTCACGTATCCAGGACCCATCAAAATCCCCGTGACCTGCCACACAGTCACAAATCTCTGAAGAGCAATCACGTATCCGGACGCCGGTTTGAATCCCGATGATCATTCACAAACCATCACGATAATGATACCCTGTTGGCGGTCATAGGAACCACATCGCAACTCACCGGCCTCCGAAGAATTTTATGACATGCAATTTTATGACAACAGGTGGTCAAAACTTTTCCGGGATTCAGCCAGATACAAAAACTGTCGTGGAACTGTCGTATTTAGAATAGTAGAGTGGGCGTTTCATTACAATACGAAAAACAGACGGTGCCATGTTATTGGGAACTAGCTATCAGATATATGTTTACCATGTCGATCATGGCAGAACGAATACCCATCTGAACTACTCCGACGTTGAAGCAACGCCCAACGGCTAGCCTCACGTGTGAGAAGATGATGTGTACCAACCTTACGGAGCAACATTGTTTGGGTGGACATCTGAGCCAACAAAGAACGGACTATTCATAGGGTTGAGTTCAATACAAAAAAATGGATGAAACAGAAGTGAAGACCATTTTGAGATGAGGCGTGTCCTGAGTGGTTAGATACGGTGTGACAAGTTGTTTTTTATGAAAATGGGAGGGTGCCTTAAGTGTTCCATCTCAATGCATAGATTCAGGCAGGGAAAGCGAACGGTTAGCAAGGTGCTATCAGAAACTACTTTAACTTTTATGGCACAAACATGTTGGGGCTCGGACCATCATTACTTGATCGGCACTCACACTTACAATCTAGTAAGCCTTTTGCTAGGAACAATCATGTCAGGTGGAAGCACAGATAAGTTCGTTTGCGTTAGAGATCTGAACCAAGACAGAAGAAGGAGTGTTTTACAAAGTCGACGAGGAGACAACAATCTAAGAATCGCACTGAAAAGTACAACATGTGCAGCCAGTATTGTAAGTAACTCGGATGTTGAGCCAAATGACCGTATTATTTGTAAAAGTGAAGAGAAAGCACCAGTAAGTTACGACTTATGGCTTGCAGTCCACCAGTCATTGTCAGTTTCGTGCCTTGTTGTCGCAGTACTTGATTGTATAATAATAATATCTCATTACCTTGGTGGACTTAGCAATAATTATTATGCAATGGATATTTTTGTCATTCATTACCCTGATGATGGGCACCCTGTAAGAAGACGTTAGGGTCGGAATGCCCGAGTAAAATAATAAAATACAATAAAATAAAATAAAAATGATGGGCCAGGCGTGAAAATTTGGTGTAATGTTAATTTTAATTTTTGGTTTGAATCGCAGTGAAGAGACCGTTTTTGGAGTTGAGAAGTGAAGTTTAAATGTGTAAGTGGTCGCGTTGGAGTTTGCGGACAATTAGAAAAGTTTATCCTGTAGGTCCAGCACGTACTCTCCCCTGTAGGCATGGGCGGGTAATGCTAGTTTTTTGCTGCGATAATGCTAAAGGCAATGCTCATAATAATTATGAGGATATAATGCCACTTATAATGCTCACACTACTCCATAATGCCAGTTTGAAAGTTGGAACAGTCGAATTAAGAAGGCCGTCTTGGATCAAGGCCAAAGCGTAGAAGAAAAAAACTTAATTAGCAGTGAGGAAGCTTCCACAGGCAATCCACTGAGAAGATTGATTTGCAACGTCAAGTCTCCGGACGAAGCCGGACGGCCCGGGGTTTAGATGCACGATTTTCGGAACTGGACCTTGCCAGCTTCAGGCATGACACCGTTGTCGACAGGCAACTATGCTTGTAATGCCAATTTTGCATGAGTGGTGTTATAATGCCAGCATTATGCCATCTGGAAAAAAAGGACTATAATGCCAGCCACAATGCCAGCATTACCCGCCCATGTCTACCCCCCTGGGAAGTTGTTTAATATGATGTATGCAATGGATATTTTTGCCATTTAATACTCTGATGATGGGCCAGGCCCGACACTTTGGTGTAATGTTACATGTAATATTTAGTTTGAATGGCAGTGAAGAGACCATTTTTGGAGTTGAGAAGTGAAGCTTACATGCTTTGAAAGTAATGAGGGTATCCCATAATAATTATTATGGCCGTCCAAAGCAGAAAACGACGTAAGGACCTTGATATCAATTATCAAGTTATGACGTTTCAAAGGTGACGTAACTAACTTTTTGGAAAAGCGTGCGCAGCTTGGAAGTGATCAGATTGTTTTTGTTTCGACTAAATCTTTGTCGTCGACAAGAAAGCGAGTGGGCGACTAGCTTTTGAAGAAGACGATCTTGAGAAAAGCTCACAAGATAGTTGGATCGCGTGCACATGCAGAATGAGTCGTCGTCGCAGTTTGGAGCCCATTGGGCTGGCTGCGGAAGAGCGAAATGCACTTGAACCACTTGACGCGAGCTACTATCAAATTTCCGAGTCGGGCGAGTCGAGCTCCGCTAAGGTCAAGTACAGCAAGCAGTTTCCGCGGAGGAGCACTCAGATGGCTCACCTGGCAGTCATAGCAGCATCGAGTTACAGAAAAAACGCGTCGACTACGAAGAAGCCCTCAGCGGCGATTCCAGTGAGTCTGTACAAAGCGAACTTTACGCTGCTTCCTACAGCGATGACGGCGCCGGCACGACAGGGCAGGGATCAGCAGATCAAGAGCAAGGCCTAATCGCTGCAGATATTCGAGACCTGAAATCATCCGGCTGCAGCTTTAAGGGCAATAACCACTATGAATCGCTGTCGCCCAAGCTGCTGGAAGAGATATGTTCAGCGCGAAGCAGCTACAGAAGTTCAGTGCGAAGCAGCTGAAAAAGAAGGCAAAACAGTTTTCATCGTTGGCGTGCTGACAACTGCGCTTCGCTCTGAACCTGGCTCTGCGCGACACCACTATTCGTATTCACTGCTGGGATCTCAGGTTTGTCAGTCTGGGGCACTCGATGTGTTTGGTCTCCATCCTTACATGCTGAAGTCGCTACAGGGCATTGTGGAAGATGCAAAAGCAGAACCACCCTTGCATGGCTTGGCTGGCACATTGCCTGTGAATGTGACTCCTGCGGATGTTGCTGAGCGTGTTGTGACCTTCATTAGGAAGTATGCATCCGTCCATGGAATGCCACAGCCAGCTGCACCACGGGGCAAAGCAGGAGTAGCCCCAAAATTCCTGCCAGCATCACTGTCCAAGCTCCTTGTGCACGTGTTCTGCAGCGTGTGAGGAAGATGATGGAGTGTCCTATGACGTTTTCAGAAGGACTTGGGTCAATCAGTGCTCTGATGTGGAGTTTTTAAAGCCGCAAACAGATTTATGTGCAATGTGGAAACAGTGTGGGTGCGCGAGATCAGCGATGGTACTGAATTTAAGAAAAACTTATTGAAAGCCAATGCTGGCATTCCAGCTTGTGCCCTGCCATCCTTGCGCCCAGTGGATCATGACCCCAGCGCTGCTCCTTCCTCAACAAGGAACTTGGAAATACTGCCCTATCTTAGCCAAGGCAAAAAGGTAACCTGGGCTTAGAAAACATCGTGTACTGAGTATGTGGAACAAACGACAGTGAAAGATGAAAATACTGTTTGCGATAGTAGAATATGGACCCCAAGACATAATAATGTGATTTTAAGCATGATTTACGTGTCGAATCAGTCTAAAATTTTGTACAGAGGTTCACTATGTCCATATAAACAAATTCCAATCAAACAACAATTTTCCAAAATTTGACCCCTTAGGTCTGTTTTTGCTTTGGATGGCCCAATATTATAGAAAAAGTTAAAAGTACGAATTAGTGCTTCTTGCAACTTGTTGCGAAACCCGCGAAAATAATACATAAACCGGAGCCATGTTACAAGAGAAATGTTATGGTGGCGCAGGAATTATATTCTACCGAGCGAGGACATCAATTGACTTCACTGGCACTGATGGAAACTGCTTGGCGATATCCCTGCAGGCCAATGCCGTTAGTAGACGGCATCATGTCTACAGTTTTTCACCCTCTTCCAGTTATCGATAATAGCATACTGGGGAAGGGCATTCTGTAATGCGAGGCCCTAAACCTGCAGCCCTGTTTAAAAGTACGAAAATGGTCATTCACCGGATGGTGGGGCCCCAGGATTCACTTTTACCCTTGGCATCCATGAGAATGAAAAAAATCATGTAATGAAACTGTTCAACATCCAATCATATCATTAATCAGGTATTGCGATGAGCACATCAAAAGGCCACGTAAACTTAGCCTGTTTCCCGATTCCTGCCCCTTACAGGTACTCCAAAAGGGGAACATTGTCCAGAAATCTTGGAGGAATAGTTATCCGTGGACTGTGTTCCAGTCGTCTGCGCAACAAGGCATTAACAACAAAAACATTGGGAACATGTATTCAGAAGCATATCCGTTCGTTTGCTTAGGCCCCTTACACACTACGTACATGTAAAACGCAACTAACTTGAGCATACGTTGCGTATGCGCCAGCCTGATCAAGTGCAGTTGCACACTAGCAGGTGATCTGCTTTTTACGTATTCATTGCCATGGTAGCCTTGTGGTGGCGAGAAATTCAACAAGAAAATGTAGTGCAGTTGGGATGAAAATTTTTGCTCTCAGAACGAGTGCATGCTGTGTGTTCTTCTTCTATTTCGTTCTGCATCTTTCGTGTTGGAGCCATGCCCATGGACCTCAGGTTGACTCCGGCAAGGAGAAAGCGACGACGTAAAATTGTTGCCGCCATGATGTTGCAGGACCTGCAGAAGCTAGTGAATTCGTCTGATGGCGGTCCTGTTCTTGATATTTTCAAGATGACTGATCACAGTTGCTCAAATTTCATGGTCACGACGATGTTCAGCATGCTGTTGCGGAATGGTACCGTCAAATACAGAATTGGTCGCAACTTGTGGACAGCTCACCCTGAGAACGAGTTTGGAACGCCTTGTGGATTTTGGGAGAAGGAGGTTTTGGGGACATGGGAGCGTGCCAAACTTCAATCTATCGACTGGTGGAGGACTGCGTGGATTGCGAATTTTCGCATGGAGCAGAAAACATTTAGATTTCTTCTCCAGAGGTATCGCCACCTGATCGTGAAGCAAACAACGCATCTGAGACGAACCATCTCCCCTGGCAAGCGCCTGGCTATTCTATTGTACTACCTCGGCCAGGGTGAAACGTTCTCAGAGATTGGTGCACTGTTTCACGTAGGAACGACTACTGCCAGGGCCATTGTGCATGAGTTGGTTGAGTCTTTGGTTGCGCCACTGACTGCAGACAGCATAGTATTTCCAGTCGGTGAGCAACTGCAGCGCACAATGAGACGTTTCGAAGAAATGAGCACGTTGCCCCTATGCTGTGGTGCTGTTGACGGCACATTTATCCGCATGGTGAAACCAGAAGATTACGGAGATTCGTATTGGTGCTATAAGCAGCATTCGGCTATTCTTCTCCTGGCATGTGTGGACTCCAGAGGCCTGTTCACATTTGTGGATATTGGCGCACCTGGAAGTGTTGGTGATGCCGCTGTATTCAATGGCAGTGCCCTGAAGGCCAAGCTGATTGCTGGAGAATGGGGAAACTTTGCGACGTGGCAATGCAATGGCAAGACAGTGAGGCCGTTTGTGGTTGGAGACAGTGCCTTTGCATTGAGTCCAGTTCTGATGAAAATCATCGCTGGAGACAACCTCACTCCCGCTGCAGAAAGCTTCAACTACACGCAGATTCGAACTAGGCGTGTTGTTGAATGTGCGTTTGGCCGGCTGAAGGAGAGGTTCAACTTGGTGCATGAGACCAACTCCAATGATCCACAGTTTGTGAGCAAGGCAGGTCTAATTTGTTGCGCACTCCACAACATCATTGAGCGACGTCATCTTGGCCACTTGCCGTGCTACCGGAACTATGCACCAACGCCACTGCTTGAGATGCATTCATCATCCGGAGAAGACATGCGGAATGCGTTGGCAACCTTTGTGCATTCACTGTGATGTTCTTAGTTATTTTGTTTGTTGTGGTTTCTTGGGCTATTCATTCACTTTTGTTTATCAATTAAATTTGTTGGTGCAAGTGCAGCGCTATATTATGTTTATGACTCCCTTTTTCTAAATTGTGTATATAGCAATTTGGGGTGCTATTTTTTATTATACTGATTGGACAATAGTACTTTGGAAGAAGATGGTGGTCTGACGTCACGTGCTATTCACGTACCTTGAAAACAGCTTTGCCGTGTCATTGTGCAGAACAGTCTGAATCATGCTGCGGGTAGAATGGAAAACTATAATGATACATGTAGTCGGATGAAAGTTTGTTATCTCTTGATGTGCTGTATGTCTTTCACCCTTGTAGTTTTGTTGAAGATCATTAATTTTATTTATGATGACAGTCTATTTGGTACATCGTGATTACACAGTAGTTCGAACGAAACTACACAGGCATGGATCCATACGAGACACCACACGCAAACATTCGCTCTTCATCGCTGGCTTCGCACAGTTGGACATCTTTGTTTTGTGGTCACTGCCACTGAAATATTGGTATGCATGAGCTGTGAGGGGCTCAACAGCTGAATATTGAATGTACAGACAGACAGCAGATGTACAGCCAGGAAGCAAAGCCATAGAGAGAGAGAGAGAGAGAGAGAGACAGACAGACAGACAGACACAGAGAGAGAGACAGAGACAAGAGAGAGAGACAGAGAGAGAGATACAGAGATAGATAGATAGATAGAGAGAGAGAGAGAGAGAGAGAGAGATACAGAGAGAGAGATACAGAGAGAGAGAGAGAGATACAGAGAGAGGGATAGAGAGAGAGAGAGAGAGAGAGACAGAGAGAGAGAGAGAGAGAGAGAGAGATACAGAGAGAGAGAGATACAGACATACAGAGAGAGATACAGAGATAGATAGATAGAGAGAGAGAGACAGAAAGAAAGAGAGAGAGAGAGAGAGAGAGAGAGAGATACAGAGATAGATAGAGAGAGAGAGAGAAAGAGAGAGAGATAGAGAAATAGAGAGAGAAAGAGAGGGAGATGCGAAGTATTATTTGTCACTATCAAATAGCTGCTTCAAAAATGTCATCTGGCTCTGCACGAGCATCTGCGTGTGTTCCCGTTGCTGCTGGAGCATGCCAGACACAAATGTCTGCTGGTTGGCCTGGAGGTTGGCCTGAGAAGTGGTCAGCTTCTCCACCATCTTCATACCGACATCTTCGATGGTCGTGAGAGTTGCGTCCGTGTGACCTGGTGCGGCTCTCCTTTTTTTCTTTCTTCCGCCCACAGCTGCTGCAGCACCAGGTTCGTCACCCTCTAATGGTTCGGGAGTATCGTCATGTGGACGACGCTTGTTTCTGTGCTGCCCTGGCTGATACGTTGGGGTGGCAGGCGTTGTGGCGAGCTGTTCGCTGTCAGTCGCGGTTACAACATCGCCAACAAAATCGTCATCGCTGTCGTCGCCAGTTAGACGAAGTGGTGGACGACTGACACGAGGTGTCGTTGGCTGTGAAGCCTGCCCGGTGCTAGATGGGGTCGCGGGGATGCTCACAGCTGCAGAAGATGAAGGGGAACTTCTGTGCCGGTCATGGGGTGTTGCAGTTCCCAAGCTTGCAGCGGCGTTGGCAGTTTCTACAAGACCAGTTGAACTCTCCAAGTCAACGATTGGACTTGGAGATCTGCTGCTGACCGAGCTGCTGGAACTTGCGGCAGCAACAGAGAGCGATGAGATGCTGGTCAAGGGCCCAAACCCAGGCACGTCCTTGAAAAGCTTGTGCCATTTCTTAAAATTGGCCCACCCAGCATAGGCCCCCTCAAGGTCGATGGCATCGTCTGGTCCAGGTGCTGGGCTGCCAGTCGATGTAGTTTTTCGAAATTTTCGGTACAGCTCTTTGGACTTGGCCTTCAAATTATCGATTTTATTGTGGACCATCTTCCCATCGTATGCCATGTCCAGGCCAACACTCCTAGCATAGAGATTGAGGTCTTCAGCGATCTCTTTCTCCTTCTGTGACCTCTTCTTCATTGTTCCACTTTTCACCCGCTGATAGTATGCCCACAGCTCGATCAACTTCCCCTCCATCTCATCATTGAAGACAACTTTCGGCATGCTGAACTTCAACTTCTCAAACTAGCTTCAACGCGACAGAAGGAAACAAACAACGTGCAACTACTCAAAACAAGGAACAAATCGAAAGGAAAGAAAGAGCTGACGACAAGAAGCCTCACGGAAGGTGCAAAGCAAACTACAGTCCAGAAATGCAAATAAAACAAAAACGCGCCTTTGTATACCCGTCCAGAGTTTGCTGAATACGTTTGCGCAACATTTTAGGTTTCCCGCGAAAAGCAGACCGTTTGCATGGTAACTTTTACAGGAACGCAACAAAAATGGGATTTTCTATGTAGTGTGCACGGGCCCTTAGGCTCTCTTTTATGCGCATTAACGTGTACGGGTATTGTTTTTAAAGTCGCCATTGAAATACCCACCTTACCTTTCTGGAGCATTCTCGACAGCGAAGGCCGAGCGTTGGAAACGTGTACTGCCTGTAAAACTGGTCTCGCGTGGTTTTTCATTATATTCGTTTATGAAGGCCTCAGCCCACTCTCCGCAATGCGCTCTTGGCCCACCTTCAAAGTCTTTCGGTATGCCACTTTTCTATGCAGAAAGTGCACAGTTGCGCCAATTTTGCCCTATAAATATACTCACTCCTTTATCTGCCCTTCTTGGCTATCAGCTACCACTGAGCGAATAGCTGTCTGGAGGATATGGAACATCTACCCAAGAGCGACCATCCTCGCTATAGTGAGGCGATTATAGGCTAAGAGTGCAACGCAATGTGGAGAGGTGGACACTTCTACATAGGCGAAGAATAGGAAAGAGGTAAGTGTAGGTGGTTTCTGTATCAGCGGTAAGGTGCGTTTGTGTTGTGGGAGGGGGGGGGGGGGTGGGGGCCGTAGCAATAGGTAGACATTGTTTCACTCTGTCTTCACATCTGTCCACTGAGATTCTATTGAACCCCTTCCCTCCTTGCAACACAAACACACCTTACCGCTGAGACATACACCACCTACACTTACCTCTTTCCTATTCTTCAACTAACATATTCACACCAATATTTTAACGTTCTCAGTGTCAATAGTTGTTGTCTTCATATACATGTACATGTAGTTCAATTAGTATCTTTGCAATGGATATTTTGTCATTCATTACCCTGATGCCAGGCCCGCACATTTGGTGTAATATAAATCTAAATTTTATTTGAGACCGTTTTGGAGTTGAGAAGTGAAGTTTAAATGTGTAAGCGGCTGCGTTGGAGTTCACGGACAATTAGAAAAGAAGAAGAAAAAAGGAAAGGAAAGGAAAGAAAAGGTGGTTCTAGACCAGAGAGTTGTACGACTCCTTGATCTTGACCTTACCAGTGCGCGAACCCGTGGAATTTCTTTTTTAGAAAAGAAGAATTTGTTCATTTTAAAGTTGTTTTTAAATTTAGATCTGTAGGTTTCAGTGTTGGATATGGCATCTTCTTGTAGGTGTTAATTTCTTTGCTTGTGATTTCAACTTTTTTTCATTATCAGCTTCTGTTCTCACCTCTCGTTGTTCGCACTGATCCTTGTATCATTTCATCTTCCTATACATTGAAGTATTATTTTAACCATTTCTACCTTTTCAACAACTGTCTTCGTTGAAAACACCTTCCCTCTCCTACGTTACTACTACAGTATAACCATGATAACTTAGAACCTTCCAACAGCATTCCGCACCTATCCTCTCTCTCTCTCTCTCTCACTCTCTCACACAAGTAGCAGTGTAGTGCACATCCAAGACGTGAGCTGATTGGCAATTACCGTAGTTGTAGTACGTCAGTACCGTTGGTCAGTGTCGTGCAATGTCATCGCAGGATATGATTGTCAAATATCTGGTGGTGTCAGTGGACGTTCTAGCGTGACTTATAGATTCGTAACGTATCACGAATTACGTCTGAAAATATGAAAACCACGATGGAGACGCTGTAGCGGCACACGGTTCCCCGGTGTTTTAATTTTTTACATGATTTATCACAGTGCCCATACACGGAAGAAGGGGAAACAAAACAAAGACAAAACAAACAAATAGCAGTGGGTTGGTAGACCCCACATGAGCTGCGCTGGTGAGGTGCGGTGGTCTCCCCTGGCAAAGGCTCTCGATATCTGCGTATACAACAAGCACCAAGGGGGGTGGGGGGGGGCGAGAGAAATGACTGGGAGAGAGAGAGAGAGAGAGAGAGAGAGAGAGAGAGAGAGAGAGAGAGAGAAAGAGAGACAGAGACGACGAGAGAGAGTGTGTGTATGTGTGTGTCTGTGTCTGTGTGTGTGTCTGTATCTGTGTGTCTGTGTGACAGAGAAAGAGACAGAAAGAGATAGAGAAAAAGAGAGAGAGAAAAAGAGTAAAACCAGAGACATGGAGATAAAGAGAGAGAGAGACAGACAGAGACAGAGAGAAAGAGAAAGTAAGAGATATAGAGCGAGAGCGAGAGAGTGAGAGTGAGAGAAAGAGAGTATGTGTGTGAGAGAGATACTGGGGGAAGAAAGATAGAGACTCACTTGGTTTGCAATGTCACCTTAAACTTCAAACAAAATCAAACAATAGAAAGAGAGAGAAAAAGTGAGAGAGAAAGAGAGAGAGAGATTGGTGAGTGAGAAAGTGAAAGAGGTGGAAAGATATAAGTATAGAGAGAGAAGAGTGTGTGTGTGTGCGTGTGTGTGTGCGTGTGTGTGTTTGTGTGTGAATGTGTGTGTGTGTGTGTGAACGCAACCCTAGTGGAACACGAATAAGCAAAATTGGCAGTTATTTGGCACACATGAAGGTGTGCCACTACTGTATACTTATGGTGGTTTCCTGGAATATGATGTGCCGAAGGAATGCTGCCTTTGCCAGTGGCGCTATTAGTTTTAGCCTCTACTGTATACCCTTATTCTAGAAAAAGTTTAAGAAAAGAATGGTATTGAGCTATTCAATGGTCTCGAGAGCTGAAGGCACTCACACAAGGTAATCAGATTATCCTGAAGCGCATTCCGCTATACAATTCCTCTTCTGAACACACTCAAATGACCTTACACTCAATGACATGGCAAGTAGCGATCTACCGGTAAATGCTTACTTACAGAAGGGTAAGAAGTGGAACACTGCGAAGCAAATCCGGCGGAATCGTCAGTAGCCAGTTGTCACCCAGTACGCTGCCAAATGATGAGAATAAAACCAGACAACAATCCTCTATTGGATGAACAATCTACAACGAAGCGGTGCTGAGCACGACATTATTCTATTCGGTTTACTGCAATCAAACACAGTGTGTGCTTTATCTTGGCAGCTAGCAATATCAGTTCAGGGAGAGGCGTGTCTTCACCTTTGCGTGCAGGTAGGCCAGCTTGTGCGTTCAATGTTACATTTCAATTGACTGTTCTACTTCTTTCCGAAATTTGGCTGTCTTTTTGCTTTGGTTCTTACTTAGTGGTCTTACACTAGTGGTGTTGTGGATAAACCCGTCCTCTAACTAGCAATATCACCTCCACGCGGTGTATATTTCTAAGATGAAACCTGAACTATATTTTCAGAAAACGTTCGTGCGAAATTGGTGACTGCTTGGTGTTTCAGTCCCCTAGCCAACTGTTGTTCCATGTTACTTTCTGCACAAGTACGAGTATTGATGGTTGAGTTATACAGGCGTTCTCCACTTGTACTCTTCTTCGTAATTGCTCTGATTTTCTACAAAATTTAGATTATAAGCACCGGTTTGCTGCGGCTTGTATTAGCAATTCACCGACTTTGTATAGCAATGGTGAGAAAAGTATTGTGGCTTCTGTGTTTCGTTTGAAAATCTTACTTCGAAGTAAAAAAATAATACGAAGTAGTGGTTGCGACTTCGGCGATGATTTGTAAGAAAGGGTTTGCTCCCCACATTTGAGCTCGTTTGTCGCGCTGGAAATGGAGCGTCTCTGTAAGTTTGTATCCCTGGTGATGTTTGTGCCTGGAGAGCACTATATAAGTGGTGCTCCTTAGGCACAATCTTCCTCAGCCTACTCAAGCTCAACTGATGAGGGGTGAATTCCCCGAAACACTGCGTATTGAGCAGGGAGTGGTGCTTTCTTGCAGGTTTGCCGAGTCGAAGGTTCGATGGACTTCTCGTGTGCTCTGGATGGCAGTCGTGAGTCAGGCAAGTGTCAAGTAAAGTCGGCGGAATAGCGCGAGCTCCAGTGTGGGGAGCAAACCCTATTCTTACAAATCAACGCCGAAGTCGCAACCACTACTTCGTACTGTTGTGCCCAGCGCGGGCTTGCGACTAGTTGGTTTTGGAGTTGACAGCGTTGCGAATGACGGAGGTTCCTAAACGTCTGGTCTCACCGTCCAGGAGCGACACTGACTCACGCTGCTATCTGGTGTTCACGAGGTGTTTGTCGCGCTGGAAATGGAGCGTCTCTGTAGGTTTGTATCCCTGGTTAGGCCTCGGCGGGTGATGCTAGTTATTTCAGCTCAAAATGCTTTTAGCATTGCTAGTTATTCGGTCATATAATGCTCGTTAGAATACTAATTTGGACTTGTAATGCTAGTTTAAAAGGCAATGTGAACCACTCATATGGCATTGTGTCATAATGTAAGTCACACTGCACGGAATACTGCTATTGGAAGTACCTAGTACTTTGAAAGTAGATTATATTGGTGATGCTATTTCAAAATGATGTGGAACTGAAGTTGCTATCATGAACTAGCAGTGAATACCAGTAAATCAGAACCCTACGTCGACAGTCTTCAAAGTACTTTGAGGGTGCATACGGAATGCTATTTTGGAAATTTAGTATATTGTGTGGTATGAAAAAGTACAATATAAGTGATCTAACCCTCGATATGCTTGCTCCTTTTGCTTTGGGCAGTCGTGTGCATGCCTCACCGGGCTCATTCTCCACCTCTGCCTCGTTCTCGTCTTCCTTATTATCCTCCTCTGTCTCGTGCTCATCTTCCTCACTCTCTTCCTCCGAAGAATCAGAGACTTCCAACACATTTCCATTTGATGTACTCATGGTGCAAGCTAGCACTGCATGACTCTATGAATAGGAAAGACAAGGTTTCTTTCCGTTTCCCATGATGGCATCAACGTGGTACGTCTATACCTAGCAGCTGCCACTAAGATTCGCAACAAGAGACGCATGTTGCGAAGTCGCAGGCTAAGGTTTAAGCAAAACTGCCAAAAGCCGCTGGTACAAAGTACAGTGTGTACGTTACATTGTAGAGCTCCTGTTTTATTCAGTAATGCACACTCATGAAGTGAGGAAATGACACTTTTGGGCGCTAATGCTTGTTTTGGCTCCAAATCCGGGTACAATGCTGGAGCATTGTTAGTTCTCAAAACGATGCTCGTAATGCCAGTTACAAAGCTAGCATTACACGCCGAGGCCTATCCCTGGTGATGTTTGTGCCTGGAGAGCACTATATAAGTGGTGGTCTTTAGGCACAATCTTCCTCAGCCTACTCAAGCTCAACTGATGAGAGGTGAATTCCCCGAAACACTGTGTATTGAGCAGGGAGTGGTGCTTTCTGGCAGGTTGGCCGAGTCGAAGGTTCGATGGACTTCTCGTGTGCTCTGGATGGCAGTCGTGAGTCAGGCAAGTGTCAAGTAAAGTCGGCGGAATAGCGCGAGCTCCAGTGTGGGGAGCAAACCCTTTCTAAAAAAATAATACTAATTAAATCATTACAGAAACTTAGAGGAGCATCATCAAGCTCGGGTGGATAGTAACATCTGGGATGATGTATGGAGGTTGTGTTAGTATACAAGTATGAACGAGCAGAGGTCAAGGAACAAGATCCGCCATTGACTGTTAGCACGTGAACCCAGTGTAGTACATGCACCATGACCACACCATTTAGATGCTCGGTACTTACCTCCCAATTACAACTATCATGCAGTGTGATATTATAGCGTTTGACCATCGCGCTTTGTGTCAGGAAGGAACTGTCACCTAAATTAATCTTGTACATTGTACTTGTCACACATGTGGACTTCCTCCGCACACAATTACTAATATTATTAGTAATTGTTTTCATGCTCGCGCACTTCTTTGTTGACACGTCTGTAAGGAGCGAAATTATAATAATTATACGTCTTGCATGAAACCGCCTATAGCATCTTCTAATGGCTGTTCCCTGTTCCTGAACATTCTTCAAGATTCATGCATATTCCTCTTGCTTCTCTTGTCCGCCTGCCGATAACATTATCGCCTTGGGGCTCGCTACATATGCACACTACCGTTATGTCACTCTCCTCAGAACATGCGCTCCGGACTTAAACCGAGGTCGTAGTTCAACTACTTGAATAAGTTCAGTATGTTCTGTATTTTTTGAGTTCGTGAAACTAGGCAATTTGCTTATACAGCCTGCTGACCTAATTGCGCTAGCCGCTTTATGACTGGATGCGCATTGAGTCAACGCAATGGTTGCAGAAAATGCCGTGCTAGGAAGGAATCCGGAACAGGTGAGGCTAATAACATCTTTAAATTTCAGCGGTGTGTTATATGTTTGGGATGCAATTCATGTCTGTGGCTAAAATTGTGTAATCGGGTGTATCGACGTCTCTGATTGGTCGTCTCCCAGGGAAGGAGACACTCGTTATAAATAATATTGCTTTAATTACTCGTTAGTGTTGTATTTCTCAGAGGTTCACACAAAAGCGATCGTGTGATCATTGACGATCACTTTTGCGTGAAAATCTCTATAATATGGTTGTGCATGTGTGTGTACTTGCATACACGATAAGAAGAACATGAAAGCTATTGAAGAAAATGAACAACAAAGGAATTGGGGTTTGATATGTATATCTGTACTCACAGGTGAGTCAGTTTCGGCACGTTTGCCAGCAAGTCTGATGGCAAACTGGTAAGTAAAGGGTTCGCACTGATGACTCTAAAACACAAACAGGCACCGAGATTCCCACATCAACAGTGCCCTCACCCTCTACAACTCACTCGCTATCGACATCACAACGCAGCCTCGTAGAAATTCTTCTCGAAACAATGCATCCAGTCTTTTTTTTAGCAGTACCTGTTCCTGCTCCGCGCATCCTCCTGGTTTCTGATATCTCGAACGTGTACTTTTAAACTATCTCCATCATCCCTGCTAACGTTATTGCCCCCGCTTGTTTTTCATGATCCATCGCTTCTTGGCTCCCCGGTTAATTTCAATCTAGCTGTTTCTGGCTAGTACCAGTTCTATCGCACTTATCAATCGTTGTTATTGGCGTCACGCCATCGTGCAATAAAAGAATAATAAGACCAACGGGTTCAGACACAGTATCATGTGAGACCCTTAGAGTTAATGAAAAAAGGTTAATCTCTGTGTGGCAATTGAAAATAATATGTTTTCTTTAGAGAGCCTGTAGTTCGTCACAGCATTTTCTTTGTCACTCTGTCTCTCTTTTTCTATCCCTTTCTCCCTCTCTTGCTCTTTCTGTTTCTCTCTTTATCGCTCTCTCTCTCTCTCTTTCTCTCTCTCCCTCTCTCTCTCTCTTGCTCTCTCTCTCAGTCTGTCTGTCTGTCTGTCTGTCTGTCTGTCTGTCTGTCTGTCTGTCTGTCTGTCTGTCTGTCTGTCTGTCTGTCTGTCTGTCTGTCTGTCTGTCTGTCTGTCTGTCTGTCTGTCTGTCTGTCTGTCTGTCTGTCTGTCTGTCTGTCTGTCTGTCTGTCTGTCTGTCTGTCTGTCTGTCTGTCTGTCTGTCTGTCTGTCTGTCTGTCTGTCTGTCTGTCTGTCTGTCTGTCTGTCTGTCTGTCTGTCTGTCTGTCTGTCTGTCTGTCTGTCTGTCTGTCTGTCTGTCTGTCTGTCTGTCTGTCTGTCTGTCTGTCTGTCTGTCTGTCTGTCTGTCTGTCTGTCTGTCTGTCTGTCTGTCTGTCTGTCTGTCTGTCTGTCTGTCTGTCTGTCTGTCTGTCTGTCTGTCTGTCTGTCTGTCTGTCTGTCTGTCTGTCTGTCTGTCTGTCTGTCTGTCTGTCTGTCTGTCTGTCTGTCTGTCTGTCTGTCTGTCTGTCTGTCTGTCTGTCTGTCTGTCTGTCTGTCTGTCTGTCTGTCTGTCTGTCTGTCTGTCTGTCTGTCTGTCTGTCTGTCTGTCTGTCTGTCTGTCTGTCTGTCTGTCTGTCTGTCTGTCTGTCTGTCTGTCTGTCTGTCTGTCTGTCTGTCTGTCTGTCTGTCTGTCTGTCTGTCTGTCTCTCTCTCTCTCTCTCTCTCTCTCTCTGTTCCTCTGTCTCTCTTTCTCTTCCTGTTCCTCTGTCTGTCTGTCTCTCTCTCTTTCATCTGGATATAGTATGCGCATGATCGATGCAAATACATAAGTCCTTGTCTTGTCATGGAATGGAGTCCTGCATGGCTTGCAGGAGAAACACAACATGGTGGCAACTGTGATTTCTAGGATCTGGGCAGACCTTTCTCGCCTCTGGCCAGCAGTTATTTGTTCGTTTCACCACGCTGAACATCTCAGAAACACGCCTGTTGTCGTCGTCGTCGTCGTCGTCGTTGTTGTTACCAAAAATCTGCAGGTGTGTTTACGCCAATCTGGATCAGGGCCATAGATTGTTCAAACTTTTCAAAAATTAATGTTATGCTGCGTGCGTTGGGGATCTCCTGTGGATCGGGTGGTATATAGTCAGCTCATGAGGTGTGGTTGTATTGACGTAGAATCTACTGATTAAGTATGGTTCAGATGAAAGATAGTTAGATATCGGGGCGAATGGCACATCTCTGGCTTCTGTGCGAAAAGCCACACTCGCCAATTGTATGATATTCGTTGCCATAGCGACCATAGCTAAGATGACGTGCGATCGGTTTAGCACCGCCAGAGAGAAGGTCGATGACTGCAACATTTGGTCATTTACAATTATTTTAACTCGGATACTGAGCCAGTAATAAATATAAAAAAGAGAAGAAAATACATCAGAACGAGTTATGCCGCAATTATCCACGACTGTAGCAAGATGATAATCGGTCAGAAAGTGCGATAATAGGGCACAAAAACTAACAATCTACTGGGCCACTCAGCGACCTGAGTCCTAGCTCTAATGCACCTCCAGTGCGCAAACCAACGGCCTTCCAACTTGGAAAGTTAATGGTTACGTAGGAAAGTGAGCCCAACGAGAACGTGCACAAGCTAAGTCCTACGCCAACAAATAATGCCGAGTGTTGCAGAGACCAGTTAATAACATGACAATGCGGTGTCACTACATTTCAAAGCAGAAATGGAATACACCGCCCAACTTTGGTGGGTCAGCAATATCAGAGATAAAGGAGGGGGAGCTTTGCGAAAATGAATTGTACAAAACCAAACGCCGTTATTTAACGGTACACCTCATGGATGACACTATTGTGGACGAGTTCACTACACTAACAGTAGTTCCACACGACGTACGTTTCACCGTGTTGTTAGTGACGGCTCATCAGGCATGTAAATTTTTAACTCGGTTAATGAGCCAGTATTAAATATAAAAAAAGAACTAGCTGAACCGACATTTGTGTACTTTACTCATGCAATGTAAAAACGTTGGAGACGATGTGCAATAAAACGATGAAAATATGAAGAAATGGTGTAGGGAAAAATATGAATTCAAACAAGTTTTCGTACAACACTCATCAGGAATCGTCGTTGGACTAAAGGACACTGAAACAAAAATTGAACTATTATAGAAAATCTAAGTTAGAGAAATAACACTAAGAGCAACAGCAGTGAAATTTACAAGTGTGAATTTTAACAACCAAAGCGAGAAATGAACAAAGGATAAAGGAAGGAAAGACAACGTGATAACACATAACAGCAGTACATTACACCTAGAACATTAACGGCCGAGCTTGGCCGCACTAAACACGACGCGTTACTTGAACAATTTCAACCCAATTATACTATCTTTCTGTAAACACAAATTAGGCTTATACAGACGCTGATAGATAGCTTCCAAAACTTTTAACTGTTGTCCATAACCATGACTACCACGGCACAATACAGTGAACGAAGAGTCGGAATACGAATTGCAACAATCAGGACTAGCTAGCAGATGATTGTACACTGAAGACTTGCTACCACGAAACCTACGCACAACACTAACACTCTCACCGGCACTCTCACCATCACTCCCATCACTGCTCTCCGACTCACTGCTCCCTCCGCCGTCCGTTCCATCCTCCGCTTCCTCTGTACTCTCTCTGTCTCGTCCATCCCGCCTGGCCGGATCCATTGAACTCAACTCGGCCGTCACGCCGCTATCACGTCCCTCATTTCGCCCTTGTCCGCTGAGTGCGTAGCTTCTGTTGTAGTTGGCTGTTGATCGTCTTGGTCTTTCAATTATGGGCTTGGATGGTGGATTAGCTGTGGTTATTAGTTTTGGAAGCTATCTATCAGCGTCTGTATAAGCCTAATTTGTGTGTACAGAAAGATAGTATAATTGGGTTGAAATTGTTCAAGTAACGTGTCGTGTTTAGTGCGGCCAAGCTCGGCCGTTAATGTTCTAGGTGTAATGTACTTCTGTTATGTGTTATCACGTTGTCTTTCCTTCCTTTCTCCTTTGTTCATTTCTCGCTTTGGTTGTTAAAATACACACCTGTAAATTTCACTGCTGTTGCTCTTAGTGTTATTTCTCTAACTTAGATTTTCTATAATAGTTCAATTTTTGTCCTTTAGTACAACGACGATTCCTGATGAGTGTTGTACGAAAACTTGTTTGAATCCATTTTTTTTCCTACACCATTTCTTCATATTTTCATCGTTTTATTGCACATCGTCTCCACCGTTTTTACATTACATGAATAAAGTACACAAATGTCGGTTCAGCTAGTTCTATTGATTGCGGTTATTAAATTATTGTCTCCTCGCCGTGTGATAGTATAAACATAGACGAAGATTTAAATTTTACGTACAGGCTCATTCTCCGAGCTTCCATAAGTTGCATGATATTTCTGACGTGATGGACAATTTCACGTCACATTTGGCGTAAACTCCTTACTTCGACGGGTGCTGCGTGTCACTAGCGTTGTTTTCCAACGCGCGAGTCAAATAACGCGAGATGGACTTTTCTCTACAGAGATTCAGAAATCCAGAGTTGTGCGAGAAAGGTCTGCGAAATGGCGTTGAAACGAAAGTTTGGAAGTATATCTTGCACCTCGAGGCCCGACCTATGTCAATTTGCTGCACTCTGGAGCAGGCTTTGTGCCATCCATGGAGTGAAGTGTGGACTCCTTCTCTTCGCAGCGGAAAGAGCGTTTCAAAAAAGACTCTCCCTGGAGTATGCTGTCCCTGTTTGGCTCTTTGCCGTCTCGTCTACGCAATTCTGCACATTGGACCGACTGCAAACTACTTCAGCGCGATCCTAGCTCTTGTATAAGACCCGACAGTTTCCTACTTGGACAACATCCAAGAGTGTTCTGAATTATCTGTTTGACTAGGAATCGCGCCATTGGCGTCGTCAAATCGTTTCTGTAGCGCATTTTCATCATGTATTCTATCGATTTCAATCACTACTTAGCCATGTTAGCTTCACCATCTCCCGCAGTTGCCGCCATCCTTCCTCTATAGGCTTGCCTCGTTCTGGAACTCATTAATTTATATAAATCTCCCATGGACTCGAATGGAGAGCCAAGGATTAATGTATAGATGGAAAAACGAACCAACGAACTACAATTTACTCAAGCATCCACTAGCAGCACGAGTTGCGAAACAATCAGCTCATGCCATAATATTGCACGACACTGACCGACGGTACTGACGTTCTACAACTAACTGGCTATAAACTCTTTAATATAATCCTTGGCTCTCCATCCGAGTCCATTCCTGCACAACTGACAAGCCGTCTATATCTATAGCTAAAGGATCGTCGCGTGAAATTGCTGCTTTTTACCGCTGCTTATTGTAGATCTAAATTGGCATAGTCGAAGTACGGTGCTGTTTTACTGAGGCGTTCGGTTTCATAGCTGCCCCCTTTTCGTGATCTTCGCATCATTTGTGCCACGCAAATTGTGTGGAATGTTGTTTTGCGTCCTTGAATCGTGGTTTGACCGTATTGTCCAATGGTTTTGTCAGTATCGTCATCAAACAAAAATAAAATAAAAATTGGACGGGGTTCGCGTACCGGGCAGGTCAAGAACAAGGAGTCGTACAACTCCCTGGTCAAGAACCACCTTTCCGCTTCCGTATCGTCATCAATATACATGAAAATCCGCCAACGTCCTTCGCAGCTGAGACTTTCAGCTCGTACTTATCTTGTTTTCGCTAATCTTCCCCTCGTTATGGTATTTCTATAACTTAGAACCTTCCTAGTAGGAAAGCTGAGTGCTCATCCAAGATGTGCAAGAGATGTTAGCCAGTTAGTTGTAGAACGTCAGTAGCGTTGGTCAGTGTCGTGCAATGTTATCGCATGAGCTGATTGTTTAGTAACTGGTGCTATTAGTGGACATTAAAGCGTAAATTGTAGTTCGTTGGTCCTCTTTCTTCTTCTATAAAATACCGTATTCGATTTATCAGTTGTTTGGGATCGGGTACTTCAAGGCCTCACGTTTGCTCAATCCTACAGAACAGGTCCTACATTTTTCCTCCGCTTGGTAAATCATGGTAAATAGCGCACTAAAACTAAAGATATCAACCATCCATGCATCCCATGCAGAGTGATAATGCATTATTCGGTTCTTTGGGAAAGGGTTGGAGCACCCCCCCTCCCCCCCCCCTTCATTCTGGATCCTGTGTAGATCTACGCCCCTGACGTCACCTTTCGGTTCCAGGGTTGTTCGGTCGATTTGTTTGCTTTCCCTCTTTCTTGCCACGCATATATCATGTACATTAGGGATTTAGGAACCATTCGATAAAAACTGACTGTAAACGATCCAGCGCTGTCAGTTCTCGGGGCTGGACTAGATCTTGGCTTCGCTGTCAAGGGAGTCTGACGAGCAACTCGCCTCCAGAAATATGTCAATGAGCGACCAGGCGGCTTCAGAGGCTGATTTATTTGGACAGTCGAAAATCGATGCGATCTGCAGGTTCAGGAATGGTCTGGTCTAAAGTCGAGCGTCTGGGTGTATTCGATGCGAAGAGCCCTACTACTGACAAAAAGTATCGTCTGGTCCAACCAGGATGCACACACCTCTGACATTGTTAGAACTGGCACGTAATTACGTAACCTTCAACAGACTACAGGTATGTTGGAAAGATCTGATATGTTTAACCTCAATTTAGGACAATTTGGGCCGAGTCCGGTCTGACATTTCACTAGGTCTGACACTGAAGTTCATGGTTAACTTAACATGGCTGAAGCTGATTGGGCTACATCGAAAAGATCAAAAACATTAAAAAGTTCCTGGTTGCTGGACACATTTGTTTTCGGCAAGTCGTTCACGCGGGCAGAAAATTTATTTTGACAATTATTCTGTTGAAATTATCGCCCGTCGGGTACTTTCTCAGTATTTTTGTTCCTTGTATTTATTTTCCACTGTTACTGTATTAAGCCGGCTGTTTTCTTGTAGTCCCTCTTTCCCATCTGTACGTCTACTCGAACTACTCGCGGCTCAACAACTCATAACATGAGTATCAATCGCTATAGATCTATGTCTGGCTTTCTGTCCTTTTCAAGTAAATCGGCTCTTGTTTGGAATTATTTACCAGACGACCAGAAGTCCTGAACTACTATCGCAGATTTCCGCGTCAAATTGGCTATTAACAACTTAACTCTTTCAAGTGTTAAGCTGTCTTTTAGCCAAATTGCCAATTTGAGATTTGCTTTCAAGCAATGTGCATAATCAGTAAATTGATGTTGCTGTTTTGTGTTTTTCTTCTTCTTTTTCTTTTTGGTTTTCCGTTCTCCGGGACTTCTATTCGGTACTCTTTGTAGTTGTACTTCTGTACTGTTGAGCTATCCGAATTCAAATAAACACTTAAGGAAATCTCTAGCCGTGCAAGAGATCACCCGTGAATAACTAAACATGATTATAACAGAAAACACATTGTACACTCACTGCTTCTTCTTTTAAAATACTTTCCTCATTAATATCGTCATGGTGGCAAATTGAACTTACAAAAACCGCAGATCAGGAGTGTTCTTGAATGCATCACGGGAGATGGATGTGACATTGCACCATCGCAAGTATCTGCGGCACATACCAAAAAGGAATATAAACAAAAAGTGAAATTGAAACCAAAATGTCCAGCATCATTTCATCTGGCACAGCTCTTCTGGCTAGTGTGTAGGCTAGGCGGTCTTCCCATATTCCCTCAACAATTGCAGGTATGTTTCCTTTGGGTTTAAATCAACTACCGGTATGCATAATAATTATTATTAATGATTTCTTTCATCACGTATGGAAACTCTGGGTGGTGCTTCAAAATATGAGCCTAAAAAGGACTGACGTTTGGGACTCAAAGGGAGCGCTACAACAACGCACACAACAATAATAAATTTAGAACAAGTCGCCTCTATACAAAGCACCGGCGCATTATGCCGGCATTATTATTGGCATAATTTGGTTGTTGACAATTTGGAGCAGAATGTGGCATTCTTTCGGAGGTAGGAGCATAACTACACGATTGTACCACAGTTCTAGTATGTAATCTTCACTATTGTGAACAACGCACCTGATCAGTGCTGCTGATCTGCATGCTAAAGGGTTCGGAGGTCATGCAGAAAGTGTTTTCAATGAAAAGCAGGGTGGAAATCAGGGCATCACATCATCCGAACTTGTCTTCTTCAAAGTCCTTTCACACACTGATACAATAAATGAAGCAGAAGATGCGAGTGAATCAGCCTTCATCAGGTATCCGGAGACAAGATAGTGACGGGAAGTCCGCAAAACTCCGCATACATTTACACGAAGCATGTTAAAGTCGAATGGTCTTGGTCCGAGGAAGCTGAGACGCTCCATTCTTCTTTTATTCCCAATCGAACTCGCGCACTACCACCGAAACTGGGTGACTGTGCCCTACTAGATGGGGATTTGTACGCAAATGTCACTAAAAGCGCCATTTCGTTCTTATAAAAGCGTGGATGACCGCGATTGGCCCATATATTGTAGTCTTTTAGACGCTGAGTCGACTGGTTTTGGTCCGAGAATGCTGCGATGCAGCGTTCCTCCTTTATTCTCAATCTAACATGGTTGAACAAGCGGTCACGTGCTCCTGCGTACACCAGTCACCTTGCCTAGCCTAGAGCCAGCAGGGTACAACTTACAGCCTGTTTGACCTTGTTTGGACACGCTCCTGTCACTCGAGTTGAACTCCAGTTGAACGTTGGTGTGAAAGTTGTAGCTTGCTGGCGCGGTGACCAGGTGACTTGGGCACACAGGAGCACGTGACCGCTTGTTCAACCATGTTCGATTGGGAGTAAAGGAGGAATGATACATCGCAGCCTTCTCGGACTAAAATTAGTCGGCTCTGCATCCAAAAGACTACAGCTTATGGGCTAATCGCGATCATCTATGCTTATAAGAACTAAATGGCGCTTTTACAGTCCATTCATCGGAAACTGTCCCGCTGGCTTTTGAAAGTCCAATTTGGGCCGAATTGAGGATCAAAAACCCACTTTAAATCTCCCAAATAAGGGTTTGGGATCTGCTTCTCCATACATCTTTCCATGGCATACCTGCCCCAATTTCGTAAACCTGCCTGAATTTCTATTTCCCTGTTCTTGGACTTTTCTGGCCTCAAATGTGGCTAGGAGTAATTGCACGCGTCACCCAATGCAGGATGTACTGTTGTTTTCACGACATCTACAACTACATTATTATTATTATTTGAGGGATTCCCCAAAGGCCGAAGCCTAAATCAAGGGGGTCTCCGAGAATAAATATACGTGTACAATGCGTGTGCAATAGGGTGCAATTCTTAAAAGAAGGAAAATATTACGATAAAAAAGATTAATGTGAAGAGGTTAAATAAGAAGTCTGAGTAGAAGCAAGCGAAAAGGGTACTGGTAAAGAGGGGGGGTAATCAGGAAGTGAGAAAACCTCGAGGATGGAATTTATACCTGTGGAAATGGGACTTAACGTGCCGGCTAAATACACCACGGGTTTCAGATATCCTAATCTCGGTAGGCAGGGAGTTCCACGTGGTGATCATGGAATGTAGTAGAGTGGATCGGAAACAGGGACCAGTGTGAGTGGGCAGGAGGTAAAAGTGGGGACGTCGTGCACTCTTGGATAGAACTATGTTGAGATTATTGAGGGTTTCCGGGTATTGGCGGGTGAAATGGTAAAACAGTTTGAGGCAATGTATATGCCGCCGCCACGCAAGACTTTCCCATTCAGCAGCTTCAAACACGTTCTCCATGCCATGAGGAATGGGCACTTTCCGACGGTGTAAATACTGCCTGGCCACGCGTGCTTGCAATCGCTCCAAAGTGTCAATATTTCCTGCGGTCAGTTTGTTATTCCACAGAGGTGAAGCATACTCAATGGAGGGACGGACGTATCCTTTGTAGAGGCGGGCAATGAGAGCAGGGGTCAGATTGGGTGACATGTAGGATAGCAGAACAACGCGACGACGAAAGTTGGAGGTGACACTATTGATGTGGGTCTGGAAAGACAGGCGGGGATCCAGGGTGATTCCTAGATGGCGGTGGGTAGTCGAGGGACATAGGTCTGCAGCATCCACACGCAGTGCTGGGGCACCACATGTATGTGAGGGAGACACCAAAAAGTTAGGGTGCCAGTTTCCAATGAATGGACTGTAGTGACATTTTGCATACAAATCCCCATCTAGTAGGGCGCAGTTACCCAGTTGCGGTGGAAGTGCGCGAGCTCGATTGGGAATACAGGAGGAAGGGAGCGTCTCAGCTTCCTCCGACCAAGAGTCCAAGACTATTTGACCCAGCACCCCGAAGACTACAACTGGTGAAATTTTGATTTTAGGCCTAACTTCCCCTTTAAAGAGGCATGACCACTGGATGTTATTTTTCTTCTACAAAGAACACAAACCCGGCTCGAGACAAAATAAGAACAAGAAAGATAACAAAGTTGCACGCAGGGAGAACGAGGAAACGACTAGAGCACAGACGTTTTGGGTTGACAGAATAAACAACTATTGAGTCGGGGCTGACTACTGGTATCCACTAGCGCAGCTGTGTAGGTGGGGCTGTGTAGTTGGGGTGTTGTGGACTCCTCCGACCAGAGGTCTGGGTATCCTTGCACACAACGCGCACCAGGGGGGGGGGGGGGGATAAAAAAGAAAGAAAGAAGAAAGAGTTAGGCCATCAGGTAGTACGCTAGTCTGCGGTGTGCACGTCGACAGCAGTCCCACAAGTTTGCTCGAGGAGGTACTTGTACACTGCTACCTTGACGCGTTGCAGCGCTGCCTCGGATGGGGATGTTGGCAGCCATGACTGTGCAGGCTATGGATATTGCTCTAATAATAGTAAAAATTGTTCACGTTGAACCTCGAGAGAAGTTATACGGATTACCGGTTTGAAAGACCGATTTGGGCCGAATTGAGGATCAAAAACCCTCTTTAAATCTCAAACATCTGGGTTTTGGATTTTGGACAAGGCTGTCAGCGAGTCTTAGCTTTCCCAATAAGCCCTTTAGTCCCAGAGCGTCAGCAATACGTGGCATGCGAAATACTGTAAGTAGGAGTCACAACGAGCGGTTGAAGCAGCGGTGAGACTAAAGATGATGTGAGACTCCTCTGTAAATGGTACATCCCATGAAAGGTACCTGTATAATATGGCTAAACAATCAAGACGATAATATTGAACCCTGTAGTGGTTATATAATTATGACCAGTCACCACCACTATACAAAGGTCGTTGACGCTGCAAATTCTAAACTCTGCACTCACATCAACATGACCACGGCGAGGTCAATTCCGGTATATAGATTGATATTGACAATGACCCTCCAGACACCTGTTTCGCTCCTCCTGAGCTCATTAAGGGAGGCATATATAGGGATATTGACAATGACCCTCATCATTAGGTTTAAGCCTGTTTTGGACCTCCACTCTAAATAGAGCCAAACAACAACAACCCTCCAGACCCAAACCGTCGGGGATTTTGAAAAGTGAGGCACGCGTTTTTCGGGCTCTCCTTTTTTTCCCTTTTTTGCAGCCCAGCCGGCATCAGGCCGGACTGGAAGTAGACTAGATCAGTGATTAGAAATAGCAGATAGAAGTAGAGTAGTGTCGGAAACTTGCCATGCCCGGAGCTACCACGAGAACTAACTCTCGTGTATCAGCCTTGACTGAATCTGAGACGAAAATGTTGGGCTCCCTGCCTAGTATCGAGTCGGATGTATCGGCAGTGCTAAAAAGTCTGGCCGCACTTGTCTCCGAGGCCGCCGATCGCGAGGATCGCCTGAACAATAGGTTCGATGTGCTATCCAGACAAGTATCTGAGCTGAAGGAGGAGGTAGCTTCTCTCAAAGAATCCGCCATTGCCGCGGCGAAAGCTCCTCAGCCATGCCAGCCAGGACGTACTACGAACCCTGACCGTACCCGTACTGACCCCCGCACAGCCTGCAGGCAGTGTAGCATGAGTGCGAGTACGAGCAGATCTACCAGCTACAGCAGCGCGCTGAACCAAGGTCCAGCATCCGATGCGCCCCGTACTGAAAATGATGCTCGCCCAGCAGCCAGCCCTGGCCACAATGTGGACAGCGTGAGCGAGAGTGACGCGGATGACGGTTTTCAGCAGCCACGGAGGCGAAAGCGCAACAAGAGCACAAAGGTGTTGCAGCCCATCTCCGACGATGCATGGAAACTAATTGCAGATGAGCCCCACAGAGCGAAGAGAGCTGCCGTATATGTTGGTAACCTCAGCAGGGAGACAACTGAAGACCGGTTACGCGAATTTGTTGATTTGCGTAGCAGGGCCGTCAACTCCGACACACCAGTAGTGCTCCACACCTGTAGCATGCATGTCAATGCTAGCGGCTGCATGTCTGCAAGAGCGTTTGTGGATGCCAGCTCCCTGCATATCCTGCTGGCTGCCAACTTCTGGCCAAGGCCACTTTATTGCAGGAGGTGGACCTTCCACACATCCGACACTCACAAGACAGTACCAGGGTCAGCTCAGCCTGGCTGCCCACCAACTGACACGCCAGAGACATCCCCATCCCTGCCCAATCCACTGCAAAGCGCAGGTAGCAACAAAAGCAGCAGCGCAGATACTGCAAGCAACAACAAAAGCAACAGCGCAGATACTGCAAGCAACAACAAAAGCAACAGCGCAGATACTGCAAGCAACAACAAAAGCAGCAGCGCAGATACTGCAAGCAAGCAACAATGAAAATCCTCCTTACAAATGCTGGTGGAATCATGTCCAAATTTGGAGAGTTTCAACACGCGCTTGTATCCTCCAAAGCTGATATCGCTGTTGTTACTGAAACCAAGATCACCGCAGAGAAATTCTCCCTTCATGAGTCAGCCATCCCAGGGTACTCCGGCCCACTCCGGCGTGACAGGACTGAACATGGTGGTGGCATAGCAATCTGGGTACGCAGCCCATTGGCGTACCATCATCTAGATCAGTATGACTCATCTGTTCACGAAGTAACTTGGCTCACAGTGCAGTCTGCCCATCATGGTAAGATAGTGCTGGGTGCTGTATACAGGCCAGGATCCGCCTCAGAGACTGATATCTCAACACTTGAGCACCTCGATGGCATCCTGGATAGCGTCAGAAAACACGGCACCCACACCATGCTGGTCGGAGACTTCAATGTCCACAACACGGCTTGGCTCGGCAGCTCTAAGACCACCCGTGCAGGGGAGTACATGGAGGAACTAAGCGCTGCCCACAGCCTCATGCAGCATGTCCAAGAACCAACCCGAGGTCTCAACACCCTGGACTTAGTGCTCTCTGACTTCACTGGTACTGTGACCACCGGTATCTCGCCGCCGATAGGAAGGTCAGACCATTGTGTTGTCCACGCTGTGCTCGCTCAAGCCCCGCTTGAAAATGAGCCCAGCACACGGAGACGTGTGTGGCGATATGGCCAAGCCGACTGGAACAGACTGCGTGCCCACTACCGTCGCATTGCCTGGGCAGCTGAGTTTCCGGAGGACCCAGAGGAAGCATGCAGCCTTGTTACTAGGCACATCGTGTCTGGGATGCTGCAGTTTATTCCCCACAAGATGCTGGAAACAAGGCCGTCCGATCCGAGCTGGTGGACACCAGAATGCACTGAGGCTCAACGTGCCAAAGAGAAAGCGTGGAAGGCCTGGCGTCACCAGGGGCCCAGCGAATGCCTGAAGCAGTCGTTCATGACAACTGTCACTCAATCTATTACAACCCAACATCGTGCACAACAAGCTGAAGAGCAGACAGTCCGAGAGCGTCTCACACGTGGTTCCATGAGAGACAAGGACTGGTGGAGGAATGTCAAGCGCGCCGCCGGTCTGGGTAGGACTACAGACGTGCCAACACTCACTGATGCTGACGGGCACGAGCACAGTACATCGAAAGCCAAGAGCGAGTGCCTTGCTAGATTCTTTGCTGAAAAATGTAGCCTTGGGGATAATGACATCGACAATGCTGAGTTACCAGCAACACCCTGCACTACCACTCCGGGCCTGCAGCGCGTCCGCTTCCGCGTCTCTGAAGTCCAACAGTGCCTGAAGCGTCTCAACACATCCAAATCCACTGGTCCAGATGAGATCCCAGGACGAGTACTCAAGGAGTGTGCAGCTGAACTAGCACATCCTCTGGCTAGATTGTTTCGCCTGTGTTTTGCAAATGGAGTCCAGCCCCAATCATGGAAAATTGCCCGTGTCGTTCCAGTGCACAAGAAAGGACCCAAATCCATGATGAAGAACTACCGGCCTATATCTCTCCTGACGATCATCTCTAAGATCATGGAAGGTATCATCAATCGGCAGCTTGTGAACCACCTGGAAACCCATCAACTCTTCTCCTCGTCCCAGTTTGGCTTCCGACGTGGACTGGCCACAAGTGACCTACTGACGGCTCTCCAGCATTCCTGGGCCACTACCCTGGCTGGCGGCGGTCTTGTGCATGCCCTGGCAGTTGATATTGCCGGGGCATTCGACAAGGTTTCCCACCCAGGTGTCCTTGCGAAGGCACAGCAATGTGGCATCCACGGCCAACTCCTGGCTTGGCTAAGGTCGTATCTCCATGACCGAAAACTGACTGTAGTTGTTGGCGGTCAGTCCTCCCCACTGTTCCCGATCAAGGCTGGAGTGCCCCAGGGTAGCCTCCTAGGTCCCACTCTTTTCCTGTTATATGTAAACGATGCAGAACAGTGTTTAGCCCCAGGCTCCAGTCTAGCTGTCTACGCGGACGATACAACACTCTATGCCCTAATCAGAAACCCAGATACCATCGCTGCTGCTTGCAATAGCCTCCAAGCATCTATTGACCGCCTGCAGACTTGGGGTGCCCAATGGAAGATAAAGTTCGAGCCATCAAAATCTCAGGCAATACTCCTTGACCGCCACAGACCATCCCTGGATGTCCCACAGCTCACATTTGATGGCATGCAGGTGCCTGAGAGCCCTCAGCTCAAGCTGCTAGGAGTGTTATTTGACAGTACTCTCTCCTTCCGGGCCCACATCCGTTCCCTTGCCGTTAGAGCCAACCAGCGACTCGGCCTGCTCCGAAAGGCATCTCGGATCCTGGACAGTGCAGGGCGCCTAACTGTGTACAAAGGATTTGTACGGCCTATAATGGAGTACGCCCCTCTCGTCTGGGCAAGTGCGGCACATTGTCACCTCCATCAGCTGGACCTGGTCCAGCGTCGAGCCATGAAGGTTATTGGCCCCTCATTGCTCCCCAGCCTGGCAATCCGAAGGCATGTTTACGGGCTGTGCTACCTGTATAAGCTGCAATGCATACCAGGTCCAGCTCTGCTTACCAACATGGTACCTCCCCCAGCAAGAGTTAACGCTGCACCCCGGACGCGCCGGCAACGCCAGTCCCTCGGTGGCCACTCTTTCCAACTCGCAACTCCTCTGCCAGCCTCCAGTCCAGAGTTCATCCGCCGCTCCTTCCCATACTTTGTCCTGGAGAGCTGGAACACACTGCCTGCCCCAATCCTCGCCGAACGCCCAACTCTCAAGAAATTGCCGACATTCAAGACCAAGGCCTACCATCACCTCCGCCAGACCAATTGGCTATGGGCCACTGAAGTCCACCAGCACTGAGAATAACCGGTTGTCTCTATTATTATCATTTTCTGTCTCTCTCTCTCTCTCTCTCTCTCTCTCTCTCTCTCTCTCTCTCTCACTCTTCCTCTCCTGGGAAGCTCCTCATGCTCATTCTCCCTTTCTCTGTCCATTTCCCCTTCCTGATGCGTAGACCAACTGTTGAACCGGAGACCACTAGGTCGGGGGAGGTTGACCTACCTCATCGGCACGCATGCCACGCTCCTCTGTGTTGTCAAAGTTCGCTTGTCCACTTTTGTCTACCTCCCCTTTTATGTTGCTGGCCAGTGCTTTGTAGTAAAAAAAAAAAAAAAAAAAAATTGGCTGCAGTGGAGCCTCCGTGTTCTGTAGTGACTATTTTCGGAATATGGAAAGAACCAGGAAACGACTTTGTGGAATGACTCCTACTATTTTCAAAGACTCCGCAGTGAGGTCAAACTGGAAGAAAATAAAGTGCATATAAGAATGTAGTATTTGATCACTTACATAGATTCGACCGTTGGGAACATTTGATCAATGAGGGATCCCAAATTGGAGGTTTGTACATTCCTGATAGGATGGGACACACGAGAACAGAGCTGTGTTGTATATGCATACTACGCTCGCACTCCTGTCTTTGTGCTGCATGCACGCGCACACATATTCTGATGTCATGCGTACGCTATAAAACTGATTACATGCATGCACGCCCACCAGCTGTGATTTGAGCTGTTTTCAGTCTTCTTGTAGATCTTGAGCTTGAGTCTCCACATTTAGTTTCGTCTCTCTTGTCATTCATATTCTAGGTAGTAGCAATAATAATCAGAATCAGAATCTATAAGCAGTCTTTAGATTCATAATCATGGCGCAGTGAACATTTCTTACCGTGCTTTAGCTCACCCGGTTGTGATCGGCCTAGGCTAGTTGAATTTTTTTGTAGTTGAGTACTTCGTTTCTTTTAGTTCGTCATAAGTGATGCTGGAAGTACCCTGGACGGTGCTGCCCAACCTGCCTTGAGCCCAGATGTACTGGCTCTCATGACCTTGACGCAGCAACAAATGAAAGCTGCTGATGGTCACGAGGCCCGACTGACAGCGTTACTCCGGAATCAGAACACTCAACCGTCGTCTACAGGCAAGCCAATATCAGTGGAGCGTTCGATATTGCTGGCCTCTGCCACGCTTAACGACCTCCCCGCTTGGGAGGAAGCGTGGGACGACTACGTCCCTTGCCAAAAACTGACAATCCAGGCCACACGGACACAAGTTAGCGCCGTGCGACAGGCGCTTGACGAGGAACTTCGTAGGTGCCTGAGGGAAGAAGTCATTCCTCTAGATACCAGTGCTTAAGAGAGCATGTCTGAGAATACCAAAGTATGTGTGCAAGTGGATCTCTCCGATTTCGCTCAAAATTTGCAGGTAGGTTGCCTTTGGGGTGTGGATCGACTGTGCAAAGCCCTTGAAAAAGTTTCTGAAGGGAACCTTGAAATTTGCATACCCCTCAAAAATGGCCGAAATATCACATTATTTATGGGTCTAGAAACGAGTCACGCCACAGCGTATACGAACAAGCTATGAACAAAACTACATCAAGCCAACATTGCCTCACCTTAGAAGAGTTCCTGGAGCAGTACCGCTTAGCCACGCCAGCATCCCAGAAGACGAGGTCCATCACCCCCTGACGCCACAAATGATCGTCTTGAAAATAGCCAATTTACAAGCGCTGGCAAAACAGCCAGCTACGTCCTCAATTGGCCAGAACTATACACCGGCAGATAGTAGAACACCTCTTCTAGCGCTGAGGACATGTCCCCCATCTTCCTTTTGGGGTTTTCTTGAAATAAACTTTTTTGAATTTTTCCACTCGACCATGCTGAAATACGGCCAAAGTCATACCTGCGCAGGAAAGCTCGCCCCTCCGCGACGTCTCCTCAGCAATTTCTACTCCAACACTACTCCCAAGGCCGCAGAACAAAGTATAGTGTTGACTCTGACAAGGAAAAGCAGCGGTGATCACTTGTCACTCCAAACGACAAGCTTCTCCTTGCGCCACCAATAATTTTTTGTGCGACTGTTGATGCAAAAGTGACTGAAGGCCTGAGCGTAGTTTTTGAATTTTATTGCAAGATGCACGGTGAGATCGCGTGCTCTGTGACGTAGGATGACGCTTCCTGCATCACGATACGCGGCCAACGATCGTGAAAGTGCCTGGAACGCTACTCGGAACAGACCATGATGGCAGAGGTAAGATGAGCTTCATTTCCTGCTTGAACTGCTGAGTACCCCAACAAACTGTCCTAGGAGTGTTGCAATGGCAGCAAGCCGTTGAAATATGCCCCGTACAGCATGGAGAGTTATTCGTCTTTCACACTTACCTCCTGCAATCCCGAACATAGTCCAACAGTAAAAGTCCCTTGTTTTCATGTCGATGCTCGACAAAAGCGGCTAGCTCGGTCCCTGTGTTGACTGGCACGCGAGTAGCACTGACTGCACGCACTTGTCGCGTGAACTGCATGAGAGATTTCTTACGTCATAAAGAATGTGATTTCATCATCATTTCACTGGTCTTCGACCTACATGGTCAGGGAAAGTCCCGGTTCGTAGGCCTACAACACTACCAGCGTGTTCTTGAGCGCAGTAACAACACAAGTGGGATGACTTCCAGACCAACGGGCGTTCAAGGCGAGTAACAAGCGCACTTGACGAAGGTGACTCTGAAATCTCGTGAGCCGTGGGCCATGCGACTTGGCATTCTTGCGTCACAAGGCACGTGATTTCACCGTGCATCTTGCAATAAAATTCAAAAACTGCGCTCAGGCCTTCAGTCACTTTTGCATCAACAGTCGCACAAAAAATTATTGGTGGCGCAAGGAGAAGCTTGTCGTTTGGAGTGACAAGTGATCACCGCTGCTTTTCCTTGTCAGAGTCAAAACTACACTTTGTTCTGCGGCCTTGGGAGTAGTGTTGGAGTAGAAATTGCTGAGGAGACGTCGCGACGGGGCGAGCTTTCCTGCGCAGGTATGACTTTGGCCGTATTTCAGCATGGTCGAGTGGAAAAATTCAAAAATGTTTATTTCAAGAAAACCCCAAAAGGAAGATGGGGGACATGTCCTCAGCGCTAGAAGAGGTGTTCTACTATCTGCCGGTGTATAGTTCTGGCCAATTGAGGACGTAGCTGGCTGTTTTGCCAGCGCTTGTAAATTGGCTATTTTCAAGACGATCATTTGTGGCGTCAGGGGGTGATGGACCTCGTCTTCTGGGATGCTGGCGTGGCTAAGCGGTACTGCTCCAGGAACTCTTCTAAGGTGAGGCAATGTTGGCTTGATGTAGTTTTGTTCATAGCTTGTTCGTATACGCTGTGGCGTGACTCGTTTCTAGACCCATAAATAATGTGATATTTCGGCCATTTTTGAGGGGTATGCAAATTTCAAGGTTCCCTTCAGAAACTTTTTCAAGGGCTTTGCACAGTCGATCCACACCCCAAAGGCAACCTACATGCAAATTTTGAGCGAAATCGAAGAGATCCACTTGCACACATACTTTGGTATTCTCAGACATGCTCTCTTAAGTGCAAGCAGTGATTGCTGCCATCAAAAAGTACATTCGTCGAAAACGGAACCCCCTGCTGGACCGCATCGATTTCTACAATAGGCGTCAACATAAAGGCAAGTCCTTCGACAGTTTTTTTACTTGTCTGAAAGAATTGTTTAGCGCCTGTGACTCTGTGGAACTACGTGTTTTTCCCACGTGCGCTGGGCGTATGTGTACTGACTGCCCCAAGATCCTAGTAATAGCTAACGAAGAGCTCCTTCTTGACCGGATCGTTGTCGGTGACCTGGACGATGACACACGGTACAAGCTGCTTTCCGAGCAGAACTTGACCCTTTCCAGCGCGGCCAAGATTTGTTGTGCGGAGGAAGCCGCCAAGCAGACCAACGATGGAATGCCGACTTCCGGCTCCTTTAAGGCCGCTGTTGCGAAAAAGTCTTCTTACCAGAAGCAAAAGTCTCAGTTCAGTGACAGAACCGCAACAGCCCAGCCACCCAAGAAGTGTATGAACTGTGGTCACAGCGCTAACACCAAGTCTTACTGTCCTGCTGCAGGCAAGACATGTAATGGCTGCAAGGCGTCGGGACATTTTGAAAATATGTGCCCAAGGAAATCGCAGTCTGCGCACCGTAATGACAAGATCGGCCAACTGAAGTTGCAGCAAGCATCGTCAGGCAACCAAGGGACCGTGACTGTCCATGCCACCCTGAATGCGGAGACCACTGGTGCACCGATCGACTGGATCCCCGACACCGGTAGTGATGTGGATGCCACCGGTTTACAGCATTTGGAATTGCTTGGCGGATTCCCCGATAATCTTGCCACCGATTATGATGTAGTGACTGGTGTAAATTGTCAAAGTCTTGAATCTGCTGAGCAGGTTCACTCCTCTCTCGCCATTGGAGCTAAGACACGACGATCCATGTCTTCCCTGATCTGTCTGATGCTCAGTTGTTTCGGACTTCTTTGCTTGCGCATGGTCTGCTTCCAGCTGACTGGCCTAACGTTTCCCGACTTGAAATTCAACCAGCGCCAGACCGTACTGCTGACGAGATCCGTGATGAACTCCTGCAAGAATTTGCAGACGTGTTCGATGATGGCCATTTGAAACTCATCTCTCGCTCACCAATGGATATTGAGCTCCAAGCCGATGCTAAGCCAGCTTGCACGCATCATGCGCCGCAAGTCCCCTTTGCCTTTCGTGACCACATCAAGGACCAGCTGGACGGAATGGTGAAGGATGACATTACTGAACCAGTTTTCCACACCGACCGCATGGTGTCACCCGGTTGTGATTGTAGGCAAAAATGGCACGTCTGGGAAGCGATTGACAGTCGACTTCACGAAGGTGAATGACCAGATTCAACGCCCTGCTCATCCGATGCAACCACCAAGAGGCGTCATTGCCAGCATCAGTGGCCACTACTTCACAAAGCTTGTTGCACGTCATGGGTATTGGCCAGTCCCATTATGTGAATCTTCTGTTCCGGCTCAATTCGATGTCTCTGCTCGCCCGTTGTCCGAGCTCCGTGTCGGCACCTATGTGGACGTACAGGACCCCAGGTCGAAGCTGTGGTGCAAGCGTGGTGTTATCGTTAGTGTTGGTCGTCACCTTGATTATTACGTGAAGAGTGTACTTGCGTAACTGACGTTTTCTCCGCCCGTTCATTCCCTTTGTGTCTGCTACTCCTGATGGTACTGTGCCTGCCAATCTACCTGCTGATCCACCGGCTCCTGTAGCTCCACATCGGAGCACTCGCAACCGCCGTGCTACGGACCGTTTGGACATTTCTTCCCCAGTCATATGTTTGATTTCTGTTGTATTTCTACTGCTTTTCGTATTCTTGCAGTCTCGTATTTATTTATTTGATTTCTCTTGTTAGATCGTACTGTTCTCGTTATCCAGTATAATCTCGAGGGCGCGTGTGATGTATATGCATACTACGCTCGCGCTCCTGTCTTTGTGCTGCATGCACGCGCACACATGTTGTGATGTCATGCGTACGCTATAATACTGATTGGATGCATGCATGCTCACCAGCTGTAATTTTAGCTGTTTTCACTCTTCATGTTTTTTCTTGAGCTTGAGTCTCCACATTTTAGTTTCGTCTCTCTAGGCATTCATATTCTAGGAACTTGTAATAACAATACATATAACTTAGCACACCTACAAGGTAAGAATATTACGTCATCCGCTCACGGGGGATGTTGCCTGATGATTGCGAGAGCATGAAACTTCAAGTCGCAGCAAACAAGCAACAAACCTTGTTGTTCTGTTCTGTCATCCGCTCACACAAATTTGAACCTGAGAGAAGCGCTGATTTCCTGTTCTCCTTTTTCTGCCTTGACACCTCTACGCTACACCTGCAGCATACTCAGGGAGCCTTTGTACCTAAGCGATTGTATGATGTACCCAAGGTCCTTCTCTCCTATATCTGCCCTCAGGTTTTTTTAATTGTCACCAGGCAAAAGCACAGGTGACTATTCCTTAACGGACGAGATGAGCAGCTGGGTAGGAAAACACGTTTTTCGAAAGATTGTGACTACTGGCTGTCGGATGTATCTCTTGGTGTTGGTAGCCACAAATTACTAGACCAGTTGCCTGGTGATTTTGTTGTTTATATTGTGGTCTATATATACTTAAAGTTGCGTCACCCCGAGGCAAATTTGCCTCCTTTGATGCGTAACCTGGCACTCCATTTGAAACTGAGGGTGTTCTCCGTTTCATGGCAAGAAGACGAAAAATTGTTTAAAGTTAATGTACGGCACTACAAACTATAGCTTACAAATATTTCACGCTGCGAGGCAGGGGATCAGGAATGGAGCTGAAGTTCGGAAGATTGCTGCACGACATTGATTCCCCACTACATGTGCAGTACAATGAACATGTTGTTGTCGCATTGTTGAACTCCACGGTGACCATAACCATCAGGCATACCCACATCACTCCACTAGAAGCCATCTGTGAAGTACAAGAGTATCAACATCATTATCGCTAATACAAGTATTAGATGATGACACAGATCATGAGAAAGTTTTATATATGCAGCATATTATTTTTATTATAAATAATGGATATGGATACTGGATAACTGTACTCAGTAACTCTTTCCATTTTACAGGCAATGTTTTATTATTATTATTACTTCAAGTATTATTGCAAAATTTGGATACTGGTTTATATACAGCCAAAGGAAAGGTGTAAATGACAGAAGTTGTGAAATATTGTATCATGGCGTGAATAACATTTCAAGTGACAGGAATTGGAGCTAGTTGTCTGCCACTTGATTCGGTGGTGCCTGTGGATGGATTGAAGTTCCGAAGGTAGTACAGCTGTACGTATTAGCTGTAATTATTCTCTTGGCGACACTTTGATACAAGTTCGCCTCTCTTTTAGCAGCTTCGGGCTACTTCACCTGGTCACCAGGCATGCACCCAAGGAAAGGCACAGAGAGCCTTAGTTCTCCCACTTGTTTATACGCAGTATGGCATGCGCTCTATTTCTTTTCTGGCGGCAGGCAGTTGGTACTTTCTTCCAGCTGACTGTCGACAGGCCCACTCTCTTGCACTCTTCAGTAACATGGTTAGACTACACCTAGGGTTCCAAGTAAAAAGGCAGTAGCCTGTTGGGACTTCCCTAGTAAAACAAAAAAATACTACTAATTCTACTACTTGTTATTATAATTTGTCATAATCTGACTTGTCAGTTTGAGCACTCTGGCAAGGTACGTTCGGGCCTGAGTGGAAACTTTTATTTTCATTGCTATCAGGTTCGGTCTCATTTCCTCTGTGCTGCACTGATGAGTTCACAAAGAACGAAACAGCATGCTGTCCGCAGATTGAGTGTTAATATAATTACCGGTAGGTATATTCGACAATGCCATAATTTTTCAAACACAGAGCGGCATTGGGACACATAATCAAAATCCAAACTGCTTATCGGCCCGTCAATCTTCTGCTCATCTACCATGGTTATTTGCCCTAATACCTAGCATTTTGAGCAAATTTCAGAAAATGTTCAGTATTCCATTGGACACAAACCACCAACACGTAGACCTACCTGGTCCTCTCAGTCCGCTGTCCGGGATGGGACGGCTCCAAAACCTAAGGCCTTCGAACAAGTCTTGGTTGTTGCGTCTTCGGTGGAATCACAAGCAAAGGAGCACTCTCCAGCAAGCACGCTTCTGCTTAAAAAGACAAGGCGTTCATTAAGCAGTTTTGGAGGATTCGCTCAATAGAAGCTGCACCGCTGCTTTGCATGTCATGATTGGAAGCTGTGGCCTTAGTAAAAAAAGGAAGAAAAAAAAGAAAAGAAAAAGCTACTCGCTTTTCGGAGACTTTACCTGGCATGCCCCAATTCAAGGGCATTTCAAACGTAGCAGATCGCATTTACTGTCGCGAGGTATTGATCATGGATGGCATCATTGGCAGAGCAGGTGGTTACATCAACTGAACCTGATAAGGTGGGTTCTTTTACCGAATGATAAGCTTCAATCTGGTTGATAGTACATGTATTAATTTGGCAATACATGTACTTATCTTCGCGTACATGTAGTTGCAACCTTACACTTCATCCCATTGTGCGTGAGTGTTCAAAGGCAATATTTCTGTGCATTGTTTAGATTTGTGCAATGGATGTGGATGAGTCGTTGCCAGACCGCACCGCATTGGCTTCCACTTTGCGTGAATAAGCTACCGTTCCACATAGTAGTTACCGCTCTTGTCCGACACATGGTTCAGGCTGTGCGTTGTCATTAAGAAGTAGATTTCTGCACTAGTTGACTAGCAAGGCTACATGATGTAGCAATACCTTGCTATGTTGGTCGGTTCATCCTTCAATAGTGATTCGGCTAGTGAGTGACTACCTCGAGTGGACCATTTAACCGTAATGCACGGAATGTTTGCAAAATACAAGAGCCCCCTAACAATTAATTGGCTTATATCTTCACTGTATGGGGCTAGCTGCAGTGGCATCTCTACGCTGGATAGTCAGGGATCCTGTAGACATGCACGGGCCTGCTAAATTATGAGGAAAGTAGCAGGCGATTGTTGATGAACTTGTTGTAGTACCACTCACCGACATCAAGAGTACATAACCCTTTGGGGTTACCGGTATGTATCATAATCCTTTATTGCTGAACCCACAAATTTTAATACACAATGAGAATGTAAAAGACCATTTGAGGTACCGTTGCAGGCACAGTGGGTTGGTCAAAGACCATGATTGAGATACGAGAGGTACCTGGTTCAAGTCCTGCCTGGGAGCGGTTTTTCCAGCAGTGCTGCTACCCACAGTCAACTGGGAACTTGTGGCCAGGCACAAGGGGTACATGGATGCAACTAATGGGGTCGTTCTCAGCACTTGTGCCAGTGGTTGTGAGAGTTATCCACTCACCCCCACCGTTAGGCGCTGCATCTTCCGATAGGGTTTACCGGATGTTAGCGGCCGTCGTGAGTTCCCTTCGGGAATGGACACGATAATTAACTTTTTTTATTTGAGGTAAAAGAAAAAAGCCGTTAATGAGAAGACGAAAAAAAGAAGAAGGAAATGTTATTGCGTGTCTGACAGTTGATAGGCGTGGGTAGTGGCATTATTGTGCTCATTCCTAGGGTTGCAATACATCAAGTAGCTGAGGAGGACCCATGATGAAATGCAATTTGTACATGCACAAGAGAGCAGCAACAGTCGTGGGGACAGCTGACTGGGGAGAATTGCACCAGGGCCAATGATCCGCAGTGCGCGTCGTTGAAAATTATCCAGGCGTTGGATGTGGCTGGCTGGCGCGCACTTCCGCGCAAGTGGGGCATACTTCTTCAGGGGCCTCTAGAATGCCTTATAGACAGTCGTTCGACCAGCTGGCTTTTGAATGACATGTAGCCCGCTCGTAATGCCCAGGCTCTGCTGGGCGCGTATGGTCACGGTCCTGCGGCGACTAGCGAATGACAATTTGGAGTCAAATCGAACTCCAAGCAGCAGTGGTATGCTGGTTTCCTCAGGTAAAGGGGTACCACCAAAGAGGATTGGGGTAAGTCTAGGTCAGTGCGTCGGAGGGCAGTAGTCATTACAATATACGTAAAAATGTATTATTCATTTGTAGCTCCAGTTTAATTAAATGACGAAAATGAATTTGTCATGCACCTATTAATAGGGCAATTCTGGTCGTTTTGGTTTACAAATTGCTATAAATTAAAAAAAACATTCATCGGCTACATCGCGCAAAACGATGACATAATTTCATTCAAGAATCCTGGTTGGAAATCAACGGAAGACACCTTTGGGTTAAATTTGTTTCCTTTTCTGCTTTCTGGGTTTGCATTTGCATTGAATTTTCATCCATTGTGTTTCTTTTGCCTGAAAAGAGGCTTTATCACTGCTGTGAGATGCAGTAAAAAATGGGAAGACACCTACGTCATGCCTCCATGATGTCACAAAGCGTTTGTACTCACCGTGATAGCTGTATCGCTCGTCCGCTGCAGGCTGCTCTTTTTTACTCCAGGAGAATTCGAAGAGATTGCAAGAGGAAATGCTCCCAAATATTGGTGTTTCCACAGAGTGGCCAAACTATCCAAGGAATAATTTCACCAGGGGCGCCGGGAGCGGACTGTCTTTTGAAGCAATTGATGTTCAGCATCAACGACAAACTAAGCGGACAACATGCTGCTGTGCTGTTGTGGATATGATTTTTCGGATTTTGACCTCATGCATCGGTTACCTGATGCCAAAATATACGGGTGCGTTGCTGCGAAACCGCGTGCGAAGAGTGATCACAAGGCATTTGGCTTCCATGACCACGTGAATATTTGTTCAAAGCTCATCGAGCTAGCCGTTTCCAGCTCAACGCAACGCGGCCGTGAGCCGCAGGCAAGCTAACACATGATAGAGATCGCACTAACTGGTGTTCGAACAGTAACAGACGGATGGCAGTGATCGCTCATGGACAGTTGGTTTCCAATATCAGATTCAGTAACTCCCTGCCTACCGAGATTAGGATATCTGAAACCCGTGGTGTGTTTAGCCGGCTCGTTACGTCCCATATCCAAAGGTATAGATTCCATCCTCGAGGTTTTCTCACTTCCTGATTACCCCCCTTCTTTACCAGTTCCCTTTTCGCTTTCTTCTACTCAGACTTCTTAATTAACCTCTTCAAATTAATCTCTTTTTATCTTAATATTTTCTTCCTTTTGAGAAATGCACCCTATTGTACACGCATTGTACACGTATATTTATTCTCGGAGACCCCCTTGATTAAGGCTCCGGCCTTTGGGGAATCCCTCAAATAATAATACTAATAATAATATACTAAAGCCGAAGCGGATACGTTGCGAAGTACAGCCTTAGCCTAAGGTTTCATTCCTTTGCGGATCTGTCTAGTTTGTTGCAATGAACAGCTGGGCTCTTCGGCTTCTTCCTACCTATTTAGTTTTGAGATTCCGTCAAGAAGTGATCGAGTTACGATTGTTTTAGTGCATGCATGTCCATCGACCAAATTCGGTCGCTTCATGTACACACAGAAGGTAAAGGGTTAAGTAGGAAAAATACAACAGGTTTGGTTTATGCACCAGTACAACGCATCTGCAACAGAAAGAGGCAAAGGAGGTGATATTATTAAATGAAGCGTTTTGAAGTGCATGGGTTATGGATTTGTAACGTCCCGTCCTATTTTGTAATAAGGCAGTACGTTGAAAGTGTATACACAGGTATTCTATGAAAGGGTTATCTGGGAATTTATCCAAATTACTGACGATTCGGGACTATCATTGGATGGGATATGGCACATCAAATGGAGGGTGAACAGCACTACGTCAACTACGCGTATAGCAAGTCACCTGCCAGATCTTCTCTTGATCTGGAGAGTAGTGAGTAGGCATGTTCAGCCCTCCCTAACACCATAGGCGTCATTGTCGACCATGTTGTCCATCTCCTCCGGGCACTCATACACAGCATCACAACCATCGCAATCGTTTGACGAGAAGATCGGGCCCATTGGAAGCTCTGTTGTAGCCGGTAACTCGGCCACGCCGGTACTCGCCCCACAGTTGCCTTGGACGATGTGCCTGGAGTAGTCCTCCTGACTTGATCGTTTATCATGGCCTGAAGTCAGGGATGCTTTCAGAAGGGTGAGTTTCCTGTCCCGACGAGACTTGCACAGAAGCACGCCGAGTATGCACACTGCGATGTACACAACCCCTAGACTCGCATACATTGCAATCATGGTCAAAGAGGTTAGAGCTTCGGTCGCTGTATCCGAATGTCCTGTGTTTGAAGGTAGCCCTGCACGGAAATAGAGCAGTGGGAGATGGGAGTTGAAAAGCATGGTTTTGCTATTATTTTACAAGGGGACGCTTAGTGCATGTGCATTATCAAAATGAATGTTGCTTGAAGCATGGCCACTGAAATGATCGTGGCCAACAATCAGGTCCTTCATAGCGCAGTGGACCATGCACACACGTTTTACGTGTACTATGGAGAGTGTTTAGGCTTTAGGTTTGCTACGTCCACCATCTGCCAATTATACTAAGCAATATTGAACAACCCAAAACGAGATCACAGTTGCATACTTGTGATGTAGATCACAATGTTAAACAAAATTACACTGGAGCGTCTGATGATCGATTTAGTTCGTGAAACTCAGAGTTATGAAACGGCAACTGCTCGTTCTTCTGCCTGTGTATTCCGCTCTTTGCAAATTGACCCCTCCGCGGACGGTGGATAAACCGCACATGGTAAAATTACACTGGTTTTGTACCCAGCGACAAAGAAAAAGAGCGAGACAGTAAAACATTGGAGTAAACACGTACGAAAGCAGTGCGTTCCATTGCTCAACGGGGTATCATCGTTGCATACGCACGAAAAGGATCCGATTGTGTCCAAGCATTTATAACCGTGGTTACAGGGCTGGGAAAGGCATTCGTTAACATTGACACAGTCTTGTTCTCCTAGCAGAACACACATACACATAGCCAGTATCTCTGATATTTGCACAGGAGACCTTACAATGTGGAAACAGCTTAGAGCTGCCCGGAGAATTGCATGTAAACTTAATCATCATTGTAAACGATTAGCACGCACCGAAGGACAATGCTGTTGGATTCGACATTGTTCGTGGAACAAAAAGGGTTATTAAATTTTATAGATGGAGGCGCGCGCATATTGAGCTCACAGCGCGTAGGCTAACAGTAAGCTGGTGCGTAACAGCTGTGATGCAGCACTCGTAGTCACACTGCTACAATCATGGTCCAGTTGGCTTGTTTCCCTTTGCTTTCAAAGGCGTCGGTGTGCACCTTTGAGAGCTAAAGTTCCAAAGAAAACTTGCACACTTTCGGTGAAAGATGTTGGGAAATGTGGCAATATGGTGCATGTGTGGGAGTGAGGAGTTAACGTTAGTAATATGGGGTGGCCGGAGAAGTGCGTAGCTTTGCCTGCGTTTGGATGCCAGTGTGAAATATCGAGTTGTTATTAAATGTAGCAATAAATCGAACTAATTCTGCTTTCATCACCTAGTAACTGCGAAGTCAAACGTTTTGCCAGATTCAATTGTCCGACATTCCACTGATTAAAGTGACTTGAAGATCGTTTCTGGACAAACCTTTGACTACACTAATACATGTTGATGACGGCAGGGTAATTTCGATTTATTGCAATAAAAAATTGCTGTCTCCGCGTTGTTTATCCATTTTCTATTAAATGGTGTGGTGTTACGTTGGAGCCACAGCAGTGGGCAAACATTGTTGTGAAATGCTACGAAACAAGCTTGTCAGCTAGCACGCACACATGCATGAACGCCCACAATCCCACACGCATGATTTACATGTAGCTCAAACGACGGACCAGATACTTTGCGCGACACACAACGTCCACTATAGGACTGCACAGATGAGCATTTACCTAGTTCAGTCGATGGCATTGAGGCGACAAAACCAGCATAGCACGCGCAGAAGTAGCTGCCAATGGAGTTAATACACTTGCTGTTGAAACCGCAGGTCGTGGTGATTGTAATGCATTCGTTGTTATCCAGGCACATGACGTCATCATCTGGTTGAACATTGAGAGAAACAATAATGTAAGTATATCCTGCCATCCCTGACGTAGACATGCCTAGGTCGCAACAGTTCCTTTTATCCGTACCCTAGCTGCTTCCCACGCGGTCATGGCTTTCTCCATTGTTTGGTGCATAGCTCACATCCTGCCATATAGGCGCTACAACCCGCTCGCTAGTGCATACGTCTACAGTGCTGGTAACTGAAATCCGACACCTGAGCGGTGCGTTCGCATTCAAGCGGTCTTTATTTCGTACTTTTACGACCGCGTGTTGGGTCTTTGCGATGTGAGCGCACCGCTCAGGAGTCGGATTTCAGTTGCCAGCACTGTGTAGCTCCCTTCTTGTCTACAGGTATCATGAGAACGAATATTACTCAAGTAAGATTTTCATGTACAAGCTGGAAACGTGAACACCGGAACAAGTTGGCACACTATCAGATATGACTTGGGCGATTGTTGGGAAACTTCCACGGGGTAGTTGGGAGGCCTCTTTAACTGGATGCATATGACATACCGGTAGTACCCAGAAAGTAGGCCTCAATATACAAAAGTGAGCATAAAGTAAAGAGAAAAGGACTAGTTACAACTAACAGCCCACCGAGGTAACGAGATTAATAATTTCTTTACGTATTACTATTGGCTAAACACCCGAGTTTATAGTGAGCATAAAGTTAATTATTATATCGAAAACTCCATTTTTTGCAGACCTACGTCTCTTAGGCTTGCGACAAGAAAATCTAGCTCCCGTGCCCACCCTGGTCTGACATGAACCTGTGTCGGCTTCATCGGCCACCTCAAGCTTGTTGCCAGTGGCCTGGGTAAAAGATGAGAGCACCCATCTTTCCTCTACATGCAGGCGTCCAGCTACGACCACAGCTGACCGCCTATGTGTGCGTGAAACTCCGAGTCACAATACCATATCCCACCTCTTCGTGTTGCAATTCTTTGCTACTGTTGAAGGCAGTTTCACCTCATCACTAGCACCCAGTCAAGCCAAACCAAGCACGTTGGCTCTCTTACCTGTTGGAGACGATGAGTTTGATGTGATGAACCCAGCGTTGCATTCGCAAGAGTAGCTACCAACTGAGTTGATACATGTGCTGTGGTTTTCACAAGTCACGTTCACTGATCTACACTCGTCAATATCCGAGCATTCCAAGTCAGCACCTACCATGTACATTTCACGTTTGCATGAACAGAACAGAATATTTCGGCAAAGGAGCATGCAACAACGGTAGATCTGATGACAGTAGTGCGTTTAAGATGTCCTGCAGTCGCAGGGCAAAAGGTTCCTTTGACAGTGATTAACAAATCACATTTGTCCATTCAGCTGGCTCTCTCCATTGCTAATCTCGAATTGGTGTCAGTTTACTGCTTCTTTTCTCAATGACTTATAATTTTGACCATTTTATGGGCATAAGCAAGATTATCCTCCTCAATTTTTAAAGGACAATAATCGCTTAAAGTAATGTGAATTATCTTTCTTCGAAGCTCTCTCATTGCTATCAATAAGGACGTTGAGCAAAACGAAAGTTCGAAAGAAAATTCCAGTCTGGGAATGGGTACAGAAAAAGCTCGAAACTTCGAAAACTTGGAAGCGAAGTTGCTGTGATTTGCGAAAGTAACTTTCTCTTTTCTCGGTACGCATTTGACTACAGGGAGTAGTAATTTTACAGCCTCTGCTTGAGACTGAGCTGCATATACGGTACGGTACTACAAGATTCATAACTTCGAGAAAAGGTCATTTCGCATTGCTAAACCTCACAAGTTTGTAAGTCCCCTGGCGAAGATGGCATACCCAATGAGGTTCTCAAATGGCTTGCGCCATCTCTGTCCTATCCCTTGTGCCTGCTCTTTAACATGTCATATCGTACAGGAGTATTTCCGTCCGTCTGGAAATCTGCTGTTATCGTCCCGATCTATAAGAAAGGCCAACGCTCTCAGGCTGGCAACTACAGACCAATCTCTCTCCTTCCCGCTGTGTCCAAGGTCTGTGAACGTATTTTCTTTGAGTCTCTGTACTGCCATGTCACCCCAGCGCTTTCACCATCTCAATCCGGTTTCTGCCGTGGAGACTCCACAACTTTCCAACTAACACGTCTAGTACAAGACATCTACACCCAGCGGAACCTCAGGCGGCATGTTGGCATCGTGTTCTTTGACCTAGCGAAAGCTTTCGACACCGTCTGGCATCGTGGTCTGCTTGCAAAGCTAGAGTTCTTCTTCTTGGTACACGGTCCAGCCCTGCAATGGCTCTCATCCTATCTTTCCTGCCGCCACCAGACTGTCAGAGTATCTACCTCCCTATCAGACCCATTACTAGTCGTGTCTGGGGTACCCCAGGGGTCCATACTTGGGCCGCTCCTATTTCTACTGTACGTTAATGACTTGCCAGCCCTTGTACCAAATGTAAGTCTTTTTGCTGACGACACTGCTCTGATGTGCTCCGACAGCTCGGCAGACAACCTCACGGCCTCCATGCAGTCCGGGGTCAACGCTACAGTAACATGGATGGAAACCTGGAAACTGAAGCCTAACCTCGCCAAAACCGAGGCCATGTTCTTCTCTCCCTCGCCCCCCACTCAACTTCTGTATTTTCCTGGTCTAAATAGTACACCTATTAAAGTTGTTAACGAGCACAAGCACCTGGGCGTTATTCTCGACCGCCAACTCTCCTGGTCTCCACAAGTCCAGTCTGTGTGCAAGCGTGCGAGTGCGTCCTTAGGTATGCTACAACCCCACTGCCAACACTTGAATGATAACTGCAGAGAATTGTTCTTTAAGTCGTACATTTTGCCTATATTTGACTATTGCGATATAGCTTGGTGCGGGTTGTCTCAGACTTTACTCCACAGACTGGAGGTACATCAACGCTTGCTTCTGAAAATTCTGTTTCGAAAAGACCAAACATTTGCCTCCCTTTGTCTTTATAAACTTGCTTCCACGCACCCTCTTCTTGCCCGACATCAGCAGCATCTTTGTATCCTTGTGCAAAAAATCTTCCTAGCCCAAGTCCCGAAACATATTGCCAAGTACAACTGGTTTGTTACCACTAGACCAACACGCAATGCCTTATCACTGCCCCGAGCTAGTTCCTCTCTGTTTTTGAAATCCCCTTTCTTCTCAGCATACTCCCTTTGGTCTAACCTGCCTACTAGCATTAAGACATGCCAGGATATCAGGAAATTCACAGTCCAGCTTTCCACACTGTCTCATCCGAAGTGATCCCATGTATTATTAATGTGCCTCCCTTTCTTTTTCTCTCCCTATCTCCTTTCCCTCTCTGACAGCATCTTTCTTTTTCTTTTTTTCCCTTTTAGCTTGCCGTGGTTGGCTATCACCTGACCTCTCATGTTTATTGGCAGTCTTCGGACGGGCCAGGAGATGTTGAATAAATAAATAAATAAATAAGTTTTCTTTTTCGAAACAGATTTTCGCTAAATCTCACCACCACAAAAAGTTCGAATTTTCGCATTGCTAAACGTCCTTAATGTGTCAATTTATACTTTCTACACAGTTGCATTGAACAACGAAAACGACTCAATAGCATACAGTGTAATAGTTTTACCTTGACACTTCTTGCTTGTCTTATTGTAACACCTTGTGTTCCTACTATTCTCACTCCTGCGGTTCTCACCTTTCTTTTGCTTTATAACCTCTGGTTTGAACATCATTCGACGAATTCTCCAATCAATCAAGTCTAAACTGTTACATACAGGTTCCCGCACGAGTACGAGGGCAGTACCGCAGAATCCAGCCCGCGCCGCGATAGCGGCAAGGGCTGGATGAACAGAGGTACTGGCCGAGTATGAGTGACTAGAACGTGTTTCCCGTGTGCATCCAAGCCAAATAAAGAGATACATGACAGACACACCTGCATTGTGATTGTTTTCTGGTACAGTTTTTGTAATAGTCCATAGTGTTTTTCTTCTCGTGGTGCCATTGATTGGGCATTCTGACTGTTCTGTTCCTACGGATTTTTCCCACGTCTTGATCGGAAACCTCGGCAAATTGCGCGGGTCCTGCAGGTTGCTGAGCATTGCACGCTTTGGTTGAGGCTCATCCGGCTCGGCCAAGATCTCCTTCGCGAGCGACTCCGCAATAAAAGTTTCAGTCTCTTCCTCAACTTTTCGGAGGAGCTCATTCACATCGCCAATATCGTTCAACAAAGGGGCTTCTTTTCTCCCAGTTCCAGATCAAATGTTGGAGCGCCATGATGACAGTTGTGGTTGCAAACAGTCGCTCTTCTGCTTTAGTTATTTTATTAGTATTCCGAAAGACCATTATTCCATGAAGTAGAGAGTCAGTCGTCAAGTGACGACGGGCAGTGAAATCCGTTCCTGCCCGTCGTCAAGTGACGATGGGCAGTGGAATCCGTTCCTGCCCGTCGTCACTTGGAGGTTGCATGAATATTGTCGCGGGAATGAACTAACCATGTCTTTGATAATGAAATTAAGGTTTTCTCACTGAGCCCTAATGTGACTGGAGATGTATTGGCACGTCGCTTATAAAAGGATAAGAACGGTGATGTCACTTCCATTGCAACATTATTCCCTGAGAAGGCTTTTAGAAATTGGCTATCAACAAAAGCAGATAATTATCTTTCACAACCTTTTGTCATTTTCATTAGATTTGAAATCGGAAAACATGTCACCTCTTTCAGCAGAATAGAAGGTTCGCCCGTCCGCGTCAAAACCCGCCATGAGCTGACTAGGCTAACTCGGAAACCAATCAGAAGACATTAGTAAGGATTTGGAAAACTTAAAAGAGGTCGAATGACTACGTATGTGAAGATCTACCGGTAGTTGTGTAATGGGTAGCCAAGTGGTAGGCGCGGTGAAATCAACAAGAATTAGTTTTATTCTACTTCTCTCGGGTACACACCTGAGATATAATTATTAGTGAAAGAAGAAGCGGCAAAATGAATAACTTTCTCTCCGGTGCTCACCTAGAGGTTGACTACTTCTTCTTCGAGTTAGCTTTCGTGGCTATCTAATCTAATCTAATTAAAACAGAAATGCGCAGCAGCTTTTATGCAGCAGACGCCGTACGCTTATATGCGGAGATACACTAAAATTAATATACATTAGGCCCTATCCACACTACAGGGGTGAAACGTAGTAGCGTCCTCTTTCAAGGGGCGTGCAAGTGCACTTGCATCCACACTCGCAAGAACAGCCAGCGTGAAACGTGACTTTTGAGGAGCGCCCGCGGGAATTTCCCCTCATATTCAAAATTTTATCTCAGAGAGTTCCACATTGATCTGAAAGAGAAACCATCAACTCAGAAATTTGTTCGTGGAGGCTTTATCTTGTTGTTCCTACCTATGTCTCCCTGTTTGTTGATTCGAGAGGAGAATGCCTCCAGTTATGGACAATCGAAGACGAAAGAGGTTGCTGTTTGCGACATACCTCAGCCAATCATTGAGCCGATCAAGTTTTTTTGACTGCACGCGCGATTTGGAAATGGATGAACAGTCAGAATCTTCTTTCTTTCCCACAGCAGGACTCTTGCTGCTCCTGAGTGCAAGCACTACTTCGCTTGGCCGTCAATTGTGGACCGCTCATCCAGAAAATGAAACCCACGGTGGCAGAGGTTTCTGGGAACGAGAAGTGCTGGGGAACTGGGAGAGCGTGAGGCTGGTGTCCAGGCGTTGGTGGAAATCGGCTTGGATATCTAGTTTTCGGATGAGCAAGAAGACGTTCAAGTTCCTACTGTGCCGATATCGACATTTGTTTGAGAGGGACACAACACATCTTCGAAAGACGATTTCCCCCGCCAAGCGCCTTGCCATTACACTGTATTTTCTTGCTCATTCTGAAAGATATTCTGAGATCGCTGCCCTGTTCTTCATTGGTTCGAGCACTGTTGGGGAAATTGTCCACCAGACCATCGACTCCCTCTATGCTGAAGTCGCGCAAGAGTCCATCGTCTTTCCTGTTGGGCCACAACTCCTACGCACCATGAGACGTTTCGAGGAGTTGAGCAATCTACCAATGTGTTGCGGTGCTGTAGATGGGACTTTTACGCAGATAACAAAGCCAGTTCTGTTGTGTGACCGTTATTGGTGCTACAAGGGCTACACGTCAATCCTTCTCCTAGCGTGTGTTGATAGCCGTGGTCTGTTTACCTATGTGGACATCGATGCGCCTGGCTCAGCGGGAGATGCTGCTGTCTATAACATCAGTCAACTGAAGCGGAATATAGATTACAAAATTTGGCTCAACGCACCTGTCTGGCTTTGCCCGGATGGAACAACCATTCGCCCATATCTGGTGGGAGATAGCGCATTTCCACTCTCTACAACTTTGATGCGTATCTTCAGAGATGATGGCAACCTGGCACCAGAGCAAGAGTCATTCAACTGGGCTCAGATTCGCACTAGACGTGTAGTGGAGTGCGCGTTTGGACGAGCCAAAGAACGCTTTGCAGTTCTTTCCAAGCGCAACAGCTGTGATCCTCAATTTGCCAGCCGAGCTGGCATGCTGAGTTGTGCACTCCACAACATTATTGAACGAAGGCATTCAGGATACCTGCCTTGCCTTGCAAATTATGCACCATTGCCACCTGCTGAGTTGCTATCATCACCTGCAATTGACATTCGCAATTGCTTGGCTCTCCATGTTCACAATGTTTGAACCTCACCTCATCTCATATCAATGTGAATCAAGAATTACGATAGATAATTTCATACAGTATTCACTACAGTGTGTCTTCGCACACCTGCCACCACTGGCACCACTACATAAATTGGACCACTGAATGTGCTGAAAGTAGTACAGTCGTCCCTCTCTAATCCGGCACTTGTTTATCCGGAACCCTTGCCAACCGGCGCACTTTCTGACGAAACCGATTTTTTTCGTTCAATTCCTACATCTTAATCCGGCACTTGAATTCCGCCTCCGGCAGTGACTTTTTGAAACGAATCGCTCAAACTGCACGTAGTTTGATTTCATAATCCGCCCATGCGCGTCAGCGATGTGGCGGATGCATCTGCTACCTTGGCCGTTGCCGAGGCCCGCTGCCATGTGTAACTGACTGCTAGTGGTTCCTAAATCAGTTCCTATTCCTCATTGTTGCTTCTTTTTCCCCTCTAGTTCTCTTTTACGGTATTATAATTTCACGGAGAAGGCGGAGAGCCCGAACGTGTGCAGTTTTATGTTTATTATTTGCCATGGCGACCCCCGTAAGTCCAAATAACTGGCAGGGCAGGGTTGGGCCTTTTTCTTTCTTCTCGGATTTATTTTCATGACATGCTCACTGATTTTACTCAGAAGATCTGCAGTGCTGTTCAAACCTGGAAAACAAAATTCATAATCCGGCAATCGTAAATCGCGTACCGTACAGGTGCACTCCTTGCCAAGCCAGGCTAGGCTTGTCCAGGAGACAACGGCAGTCAACCATACTTTCTTATTTTAGCAAGGAGTAGTGTCCTGCCAATTTTCAGGTGTGTGTGTGTGCGTGTGTGTGCAGGAGTACATGTGAACATGTTCTCTGTTTTACTTTATCACTTTATCACTGTGTATATTCCCGGAGAACAATTGAGAATATAAAGCCGTGCACCAAATACTTGGGTCGACACGGAAAAACCCTGCGTTTTGACGTACATATGATACATGCATGCAATTGGGTTGGGCCGGGTCAGAGGGCAGGATTTCTTAATCCAGCACCCTCGTTAATCCAGCAGAAAACGCCGTAGCAAAAGGTGCCGGATTAGAGAGGGATGACTGTACATGTAATTCAATTCTGCTGCTGGTCACACGATGATAATTGCTACTCAATTGTATGCAGAAAGTGAGCAAGTATTGAAAGTTACAAAACCTTGGAGCGAGAAAAAGACAGTATACGCAAAGTGAATGCAACAAAACGACAAGTGCAGTAGTTCTTCGGCCACACACCAAGTCTTCATAATATCCAACATGCTCATAGTGAAGGAGAAAAAAGGACAGGGGAGTACAAACTAGAAACTGCCACCAGTTTGGTAACATAATTTCATTATACACGTGTCAAAACAAACTATGAAGATCTTCTTGAAGAGATAAAAACAAAATCACAAGTTGTACGATAGTGAATAAGTCGTGAGCAAATCAATCATCAGAGGTACACTTCTTGAAAAGATCCGCCGTGAACTTCATTTGGCTTTGAATCAGCGCTTGCGTATGATCCTGCTGTTGCCGCATAACTCCAGCCAAAAACGTTTGCTGGTTATGTTGCAGCTGGACTTGAGTGTCACACAACTTGGTGACAGCATCGGATATAGAGGACTCGCCTGCAGCTTTTCTTTTCGTCTTTTTTGTCTTTTTGGTTGCCTCATTTTTCCCCGCCGCTGTACGCACACTTGGCTGTTCGGTGGGAGTGACAGGTGTGTGATGGTCACTGTCGGACCCATGTTCATCGCTCTCCGAGTCAGAGTCCAGCACAATGTGTCTTGACCGCTTCCTGGATGCTTGGCCATGGGATCCTGGTTTGTATGCCGCTGGACGACCTGGAGTGCTGCATGCACTGGTAACTGCTGCTGTGGCAGCTGCACTGCCACTGGCCCTTGCAAGCATTGCTTCATCCAGTGCAAAATGGTCGGTGTCATCGCCAATAGACTGGCCCCCATGGTGCATGTTCACGGTGTGTGGTGATGGTGATGGTGCAGGTATCACAGGGGTTGGGGGCGCACTACCACTGGATGGGTTTTCAAGTGGACTTGAACTTGAAGAGCTGGCCACTCCAAAACGAAGAGGAGCTGGTCGCTGTAGGGTCTCCACGGCAGTTTCAGTGGGCAGGGCAGCGGAGTTAAGACTCGTAATGGGGCCATATCCCGGCACCAATTTGAATAGTGAGTGCCAGGTCTTGAAATTACCCCAAGCTCTGCAAGCAGCTTCCAGATCTATGTCGGCATCGCCGGAGTCTTCGCTTGGAGCACCAGAGCCGGTGGCGGTGTGGCGGCGATATTTCTTGTACTGCTCCCTGGCCTTGGTACGTAGGTTGTCCAGTTTGTTGTGAACAATCGGCACTGTGATCTCATTCTGGAATTTATCGCCATACAGCTCGCGGCCGAATATATTCAACTTCACGGCAATCTCCTTCTCCTTCACCGACCGCTTTTTCATCGTCCCATTGCTCGCTTTCTGTTCTGCAGCCCACAGCTCAATGAGCTTTCCTTCCAGCTCTTCACAGAACACAACCCTCGGCATTTTCTCAAGATACTTCAACAAATACTTCAACAAGTACCTACTTCCGAAACCTGGAAAAGCTACTTGAAAGTAAAAAGTGGCCTTGTATCGGGGTTCGGAAGTTGCTGATTACGTTCAAGCGACTTTTTCACTTTCGCGCCGTTTCCCACGGTTCTCCATGACAACTTACAAGGAAAAGTGACTTGTACGCGGTTTTTGTTGTAGTGTGGATACCGCCTAAGGTTGTTCCGTGTAGTATCTTATCTAACTTATCTCTTATTTTTGTGTACTTTCCACTATATTGTGTTGCATCGTAAAAAATAAAATTAAAAAATCATGTAACTGGGCAATGGTTCATTTTCTCCAAACGACTCGAGCACTCACCGGTAAAGCCAGGTTTGCAGCTGCACGTGTAGTTGGCTTCGGTGTTGTGGCAACTAGCATTCACGTGACATGCGTGCGTCCCCTCCAAACACTCGTCCGCCAGTTCACAAAGATGGCTGCCTAGTTTTAGTCCCGTTCTGCAGCCGCACTCGTACGCACTGGACCGTTGATTCAACTGACACACTGGGTACTTGTTGCATGCCATGGTGCGGTTTTCAGGATTACACACCAATATGCTGACGCATGTATTTCCATCATATACAAACCCCGCTTGGCATTGGCAGAAGTAGTCCGTCTTGCCTTTGTTGGAGTAGCATTGAAATGTAGAGATGCCATTGCAACGATCAACCACTGCAGCAGTTGTCAAACGCAGGACATGCCAAGAAATCATTAGCAAAGTAATATTCTCACAACCGCGAGGTCATAATATTATTAACTAAGGTCTTCTGCATGATGTTGACGATTACAGCGGGAAGCCTCGGTTCCTATGCTCCAAGGAACTCCCTTTCCACTTGTTCGAAGTCAACACAGCACAATAGAATTCTTCACCCTTCTTGGTGATACTCTCTGCTGAGAACCTAACAAAACCACTCATGGCTATCGTTAGAAATGTTACGGATGTGGTAAGTGATTCTTTATCTCACTCCCGGCTTATCTTACCCCAGGTTCTGATATGATCCAGTGATGAACTGAACGCGACCACCTAGATTTTAGTCTACTTGTATGATTATAGGGGAAGAGTCTGTTGCTCCCTACATGGGAGCTCGTGGTTTTCCTGCCTACTTGAATTCTCACTTGACTGACTCACGACTGCCATCCAGAGCACACGAGAAGTCCATCGAGCCGTCCACTCGGCAAACCTGCAAGAAAGCAAGACACCCTTGACACAGTGTTTTGTGGAATTCACCCCTCATCAGTTGAGCTTGAGTAGGCTGAGGAAGGTTGTGCCTGAAGAGCACCACTTATAATTATTATAGTGCTCTCCAGGCACAAACATCACAATGAATACTTACAAAGACGCTCCGTTCCCAGCCCGACAAACACCTCGTGAACACTAGATAGCAGCGCGAGTCAGTGTCGATCATGGAGGTGCAGAACAAACGCTAAGGACCGTTGGCCATTCACAACGTTTTTGCCTCCAAACCATCTAATTCGCAAGCCCGCGCGGGGGGCAACAATGTGAAGAAGAGATTTGTGCGACTTCGGCGATACCAGGGGAAGAGTGTGTTGATCACTACAAGTGAGAATTCAAGTCCGCAGGAAAACCGCGAGTACCCTTGTAGGGAGCAACACACTCCTCCTTACTATCGCCGAAGTCGCACCAACCTCTTGTTGTCCCAAGCGCGGACTTGCGATTTAGATGGTTTGTATGCGACAACGTTGTGAATGGCCAACGGTCCTCAGCGCTTGTTCAGCACCTTCATGAGCGACACCGACTCACGCTGCTATCTGGTGTTCACGAGGTGTTTGTCGCGCTGGAAACGGAGCGTCTCCGTAAGTTTATATCCCTGGTGATCCTTGTGCCTGGAGAGTACTATAAGCGGTACTCTTCAGGCACAATCATCCTCAGCCTACTCAAGCTCAACTGATGAGGGGTGAATTCCCCGAAACACTGTGTGTTGAGCAGGAAGTGGTGCTTTCTTGCAGGTTTGCCGAGTGGACGGTTCCATGGACTTCTCGTGTGCTCTGGATCGCAGCGTAAGTCAGTCAAGTGAGAATTCGTACTACTTCTTCTTCACATTGTGTGATTATAATAAACTTAAAATTCTACAACGTCGTGATGTTGTGTGGCCGTGTCTGCATCGATTGCACTCTTAATGGTTCTTGTTAGATGTTTTATCTGCTATCGATTGTTGACACAGGCATGTCCACCATCTTAGAACACGGTTTGTTCGGGCTAGCATTTAGCTGCAACTTACATTCCTGAGAAAAGTTCCTGGTGGGCGTATCAGCATTGAATGTCCCTCCTGAGGTACTTTCCTTTGCCATGCCTAGAGGACATGCGCTGGCAAAGTCAAGGGTGATGAATGTCTTGTCGAGATATCTGTGCCAAAAACAATAGGATCTCAGGAACACAGCCTGTCATCAGGGAGTTAATCCCCCAAGAATCTATAGAAACCCCTGGGGGGGGGGGGGTCAAAGTCACCTCATCCCTCTCACCTCGTACTCTTTAGGAAACTCTCTTTGATTAGCATGCACTTGCTTCTGGAGAATCCTCGAACTAAAATGTCATTGCCAATGTCAGAACATTCGGAAGAAAGGATTTCGGACGAGGCCAGTTTAGATTTTCGCCAGTTTTTCAACACGTGTACGAAACTAGGCGAAAATTAATAATCAGATGCTGTACTTTGAAAAGGGCTTCGATTTGCGAGAAAGAACACAATCATCATCTCCACTATGCGACACTACTTGCTACGCTACCAATTCGTTTCATTGTCACGTATATTATGTTTAGACTCGGGTTGAGAGCCAAGGGTGTAAGTGAAAAAAGAATGAGAAAACGTTTACAAACAATCCATTCATTGTATCCAACACTACCACAATTTACTATAATTAAAGTAAGAAAACATACGGTGAGTCAGAAAATTCAACAATTAGCACAACATCGAATGATGTTATACTGACCTTAAATGACCTTATGCTCAGCTTTATCACGTCTAGAATGCGCAAATCCACAGTCTTCCCACTAGGAAGGTTCTGTGTTATTGAAATATCGTAAGAAAGGTGAAGGTGTGCGCTTCCAAGACGAGAATAAGCTTAACATCATAGCGAACTGAGAATGTTAGCTATGACAAATTGATGAAAAATGAGGAAGTACTACGACTCACGACTCACTTCAAGAACGCGGAACAACGACCGCACAACGTGAGATCCCCCCCCCCCCCCCGTTATCGGAGATAAGCCAAAGAGGGGAAGTTACGCGAGCACGAAGTGAGACAGACCGCACGCCACTACCTCTTCATACTATATCAGTACATGTGGAATGTAACCTGTGGTGGATTTATTTTATTTGAAAAAATAATGTAGCGTTACTTACTTAGTGTCACTGGCCAATGCATCCAATTATCCAATGCATTGACGAAGGGTACAATTTCAAGCGATATGTCACTCCATCATTCCAGTCAAATTTTACTGGCCCGTTATTCATTGCCGTGTTAGAAAGCCATCATAATTATACGTTTTTCTGTTTTCAAATGCGCTCATAAATAACCGACAAGGACCTAACAATCGTAAAATAGGAGTGGTTAAAACTGACTATACACTCATATCCACGTTTAAGGTGCTGTTTTTTATGTGTGTTGTTTTATTCCACAGATTGTTCTTGTTTAAAATGGCAATAAGGAGGAGAAGCTGAAGTGACATTTGGATTATTTCAGCACATTGTTCAGAATACCTATCTGGGTCTAGCTATATCTCGACCTGAAGTATTAAAATATTCGACAAATTTTAAAATGGCAATAAGGCATGTGCTGAAGTAATTCAAATGTAACTTAAGCTCGTCCTCCGTGCCGTGTTTATATTGTTGTTCTTGTTTGTTTGGCTTTTGGTCATTTTCTTGATGAGGTTTTCTCCGATTGGTGGCCCCATATCCATTGTGTTCCACTGCACTTTGCGTTCCATTTCATACTGAGGTTCACTGCACTTTGTATAAAATTTTATTTTTCTTTCTTTTACAAATAATCTACGTGGAGATAAAAGTTTAATAATAGCAATGAAAAGTATGAATGCCGCAGACATCACCACGCAACATGACAATTTGTTCAAGGTTTGGTTTTGTGTGTTTCCAAAATCGATTTTCACGTTGCGATCATCAGTGGAAATACGCAACTAAAGAGATCAAGGGAAAAACAAAGGTTAAAAATCCAAAGAAGTGTGACACATGACGGGTAACTTGTGGTAAGTATTACAAAAAGTGAGAACTAAAATAAAGAGTAAGTGTGACAAACGGGCATGAACAGTGCAGAAAGTTCCACTGATGATCGCAACGTGAAAATCGATTTTGGAAACACACAAAACCAAACCTTGAACAAATTGTCATGTTGCGTGGTGATGTCTGCGGCATTCATACTTTTCATTGCTATTATTTCTTTCTTTTCATCAATATAATTTGAATGTATTACAATTTTTCTTGCTTCGAGTGGTAGTGTCCAAGGAGGAATCTTAACGAGGGAAAAAGGGATTTGCTTCTTATTGTAACGTACACTGATTGGCGAAATGCTGAGCAATAGGGTTCACCTTTTCCAATTGCTTGTTAAGGGGGCAGACTGGTCGTAAAATCCCTGAAAGGTCGAATTTGTAAATTCATATCGAGTGCTACATCAGTTGAAAGAGCATGGATAGCTGCAAAATCTCTATATATTTTGTTTCGATCTGACCATCTGTTCAAGAGGTATGGCCGAAAATGTGCCTGGCAAGGAAAGATATTTTGTTGCACGCTTTCTTTTTTTTACAGCACTGTATTTGAATGTGAGCAGACCGTGCGCAACTTGTCGTATCATGGAAACACGCGAAAGTGTGCAGAATTTTGCTCCAAGTCAAAATCATGTTTTTTGGCCACGTATTGAAGGCAAAAGTCCGCCGCCGTGCAGCAGGACTTTTGCAAGCACCTTCGTGACGTTGCAGATACGTGGCTTGATTATTGTAGTTGACGTTGATTTAGTGACTTTGGCAAGTTTGAGTCGTGTCAAGAAGTCAGGTAGGATTCAGTACTAGGCAGTAGTGAAACGTGAGTGGTAGTCTTTGCCGATTTCTGAGGGTATCCTGGATTCGGTGTGCAGCGCTGTGGAAATGGCTTGCTGTGGAGATCCCAGCACTGGATGTTGTATCAAATGTACGACCTCGTAGCACGTGCTAAACCTAAAAAATCAAAAAATTGACTTCGGTCTGCGGGAGTCTGTGAGAGAACGCCCTACTCCTGCCGTTGTGACAGATTTCAGGGCCACGTTGAGGGGCCCTATCCCACCACCCATGGCTGCTTCTGGACTTTTGTTAGGGTTGGATCCCGCCCACAGACTAGCCCTTTCCCAAAGGTGCTCTTTTAATTCGCTCTTGGTGCTTTTCGCGTCCCTCAAAATATGCTGAAAAGTGCTCTTTTTTTCAGTGAAAACAGGCAAAAAGTGCTCTTTTTCAGTAAAACATAGCCATGGTACATGTTCAGATATGAACTCAAGCTGAGAAATGAATACACACTTTTTTATTTTTTTTATTTATGGGTCCACGAAAGGCAAAACAGGAAGTAAAGTTCAAGAAAACCAACTTTTTACAGCATTGTGTAGGGTACACCAACTTGTTGCCCCCCAGAAAAGCGGCGTGCCAAGGCCCATCGAGCACTCGGAAACCGATTTTAGCACTTTCTCAGCTAAAAAAACTCAAAAAGAGCAATCAATATTCACCAAAAAACGCAATAAAGGGCGAAAGAAACGGGCTTTTCCAAAAAGGGCGAGCACTTTTGGGAAAGGGCGAGCACTTTTGGGAAAGGGCTAGCACGGACAGAATGGCCAAGAAAATGTGAAAAATATTGTATATGCATTTTTTTGGCTCTTGGGTGGCTCGCACCCCGTGGCACTATGCCGGAATTTTCAATTTTTCCGGTCTGGAAAGTAGGCCCTTCCCAAATCGGCCGGCAGAATAATTCTCCGAACAGGAGCCTTTTGAGAAAATCGGCGATCTTTTGGCCGAATTCTGCGATTTTAACAAGAAATCGCCGACGATACATGTTTTGCAGGGTCGTGGGCAACTGGGCATAACCACTCGTGCGCGCCTGCGTCACGGCCCGTGGGCATTTACCAAATCGGCAAACATTGGCCGAAAATAGTGGTTTTGAATAAATCACCGATCTTTGAGACAAATACGCAATTTTCGCACTGAATTCGCCGAAAATTGATGTTTTAGTGCCTCAATAGCATGCAAATACAATTTCTGTAGCCATTATCTGCGAAAGGTGGCTGCGACTTTAGAGCCGAATTTCAACCTTTTACATAATTTTTCAGCCGATTCTGGCGATTTTTTCAGCCGATCGAAAAGCCGAATAGGCCAAAATAAATGGCCGATTTGGGAAAGGCAACCTAGAAAGCCTGTCAGTGAGGCGCAAGAACTTTTAAGGTGGCAGACTACCCAAAAATTAGTTGAAAAATCGAATTTGTAAATTCATTGAGTGCTTCGTCAGTTGAAAGAGTATGAATAGTTGCAAATTCTCTGAAAATTGTGTCCCGATCTGACCCGCCGTTCAAGAGTTATGGCCAAAATTGTGCCCTTGCGAGTTAAGATTGTTTTGTTGCACGCTGTCATTTGTTTGCAGCACTGTATTTGAATGTGAGCAGACCGTGCGCAACTTGTCGTATCATGGAAACACGCGAAAGTGTGCAGAATTTTGCTCCAAGTTCAAAAAGTCAGAAAAATCACGTAAAAAAACACGTATTGGGCTGCACGGCGGTGGGCGAAGCCCCCCGCCACCGTGCAGCAGGACTTTTGCCAGTACCCTCGTGTAGTTGCAGATATGTGGCATGATTATTGTATTTGACGTTGATTTAGAAGAGAAGAAAAGGAGAGATTGAAAGAGAAAGAGAGAGAGAGAGAGAGAGAGAGAGAGAGAGAGAGAGAGAGAGAGAGAGAGAGAGAGAGAGAGAGAGGGGGAGAGAGAGAGAGAGGGGGAGAGAGAGAGAGAGAGAGAGAGAGAGAGAGAGAGAGAGAGAGAGAGAGAGGGAGAGGGAGAGGGAGAGGGAGAGGGAGAGAAAGAGAGAGAGAGAGAGAGAGAGAGAGAGAGAGAGAGAGAGAGAGAGAGAGAGAGAGAGAGAGAGAGAGAGAGAGAGAGAGAGAGAGAGAGAGAGAGAGAGAGAGAGAGAGGGAGAGAGTGAGAGGGAGAGAGTGAGAGTGGGAGAGAGTGTGCGTGTGAGAGTGGGAGAGAGAGAGAGAGAGAGAGAGAGCAAGAGAGAGAGAGAGAGAGAGAGAGCAAGAGTGAGAGAGAGAGAGAGCTGGGAGATAGAGAAGCACAGTTCTCTTGGTGATGGCGACTGCGAAGGATACCAGGTTCTGGGACATGTGGACGAGAATCAGAATATTGGTGGTGATGACAGCAAGGTTATAAGGTAAGCAGCTGAACTCTAATAGACATCCTTAGCAAAAGTACGATAACGCTAACTTTTACGGTACTCACTCCCAGCCGTGACAAAAGACGTTATCGGATAACGGAAAAACGTTACAGAGCTCAAAATAACGGGCCGACGTTCGTTATGGAAATTCTGCAAAAAATGCAAAAAACTCGCATTGTTTTGTAACTGGCGGGAGATAAAAAGCACGTGCAGATCGAGATGAGAGTCGAGATTGCTTCCTCTTGTGACATTTAGCTTTTTTGGCGAGTTTTGCCTTTCAGTTGACAATGTCTGCGTCCTCTGCTTCGTGCCTTTCTCCCTCTATCCCATCTGGGAAACAAAGGACCAGTTCCACGGCACTCCTGAGGAAGAAATTCATCAGCCTCTCCCGGGCCAGACGTGCTGGAGCTGGAGAACCCTTACAGTCTTCGGTGCTGCGTTTAGGAAAGGTTTTCCAAGGACCTGGGAACAGCGAAAACTCATTTTCGCTGTGCTTTTGCTATTCCAGAGTAAAAGACCTCGCCAAGGTATTCTTTCGGAACGACGGCAAACTAATCCCTGGTTCAAAATTTTGAATTTCCCGCACCTGTTTCCACGAAAATTCATATCGCCATGGTTGTCACGACTACTTCGTCTCAACTATAACGTACTTTGTGCTAAGGGAAAAGTTAGCTTGAACGATCCGAAGTACGGAAAGGTTTGCGTTTACGTTAGCGTATTTTTAGCTAAGGATATCTAATAAGAACAGGGAAAGCGTTGGCGAGTAGATTCAAAGTGCATCAGTAGCAGAGAGCCAGTCCTGGGCAAAAAGGTGACGGTACACCTTTTCTTGAAGCTTTGCATGTGGAGCCGGGCGGGTGGGTGTTGCAATAGGTCTGGTAGCAGGGCATTCCACGTTGCGACGGTGCAAGCAGGGAATCCTTTGAGGCAGCTATTCCGGATGTTGGCAGGCAGGCCAGTTGTCATCTGGCATGGTTGGGAATCCTGCAGCTGGAGAGAGTGACGGGTGGGTCTTTTCTCGGGGGCACGGTGAGTGGCTGGTTTGGGCAGCATCTGGTTCAGAGGGCTGGATGCATCCAGATAGCAGAGCTTGTAGGTATAGGCAAGCGCAGCTATCAGGCGACGGAGTGCCAGGCTAGGGAGCCAAGTACCTGCTCCGATGATGCGGAGGGCCCTTCGCTGGATCTGGTCAAGCTTCTTAAGATGGGACGAGGGTGAGCCCAACCACTCTTAGTGACAATACTCGAGTGTGGGTCGCACAAAGCCGTTGTAGAGGCGTTGGCGGCTCTCGACGTCCAGAATGGGAGATGCTCGCTTCAGGAAGCCAATCCGCTGGTTAGCACCGGAAGCTAGGGAGCGGAGGTGGAAGGAGTAGCTCAGAGTGTTGTCGAAGGTGACTCTCAGGAGTTTCAGCCGACTCTCTTGCAAGTGGTACCGCCTCAACCAAAGCGTCCGTGGTCACTGACAAAGGAGCCACCGACTGCAGGAGCAAAGGGGGCGACACATGCATGGTTATGAATTCAGACTTAATTTATTCATTGCTATTCTATCCTTTGAAATGCTTACATTTTTGACAGTTTCTTGTTGGCTGTGAAGAGGTTGTAGGGAAGCGTTTTAAGATTGGGTAATGTTGCCAAACCCCTGAACAACAAAAAAGAAGAAACCACAGAGTTGGCGATGGTCAATTGCAACAACTATCTTACGACCTGACTGCGTGTACTTGCTGCTTTGCATGTGAAGTAAGACAGCGAACTACCGTTTCGACGTTTTCAATTACAAATGCAGCTCTTGGATTTCATTTATATAGTGTGGATACTGCATCACCGCCGCACTATGATTCTTTCTGAATACTTCAAAACACTGGCAACTTTGGCCTTCGAGTGCGCGACGTTATATTCATGGAACGTCAGCACAAATGTCTTTTTTACAAGTACTGTATTACTCTCTATACCTTCTTTCTTTCTTGTAGATCTCTTTCTCTATTTATCTCCCTCCCTAGATGCATTACTATTGATTCCTGGGCGTAGGCTATGATCCCGAGGCCTCCGGTTGCAAGAGCCTTACCCACCACATCGACACATCACCCATACCCCCTTATGGCCTGTACGTTATTATTTTTGTTTTCGTTTTATCACATTGCACATACCTGATAAATAAGGGGCAACAAAAAAATAAAGTAAAAATTTACAATGGGTGTGTAGGCGCTACATGAGCTACGCTCGTGGGTAGTACTGGTAGTATTTATTAATAATAATAATAATTTTTGAACGGATTGGGAGAACTTCAAATACAAAGGATCAGTTGGGGAAGTGAACTGCCTGAAAAGAGAAAAAATCGCCAGACCCACCAGGACTCGAACCACGGTGGTTGGTCCCCTTGGGGAGGGAAAAAGACCCAAGTGCCATCAGTATGTGTGGCACGTGTTGTGAGCTGCCTTTGGAGTGAAAAACTCGTCAGCGCCTTCTAGGTTCAGCCTGGTCCCATAGCTCAGACCCACCAGGACTCGAACCTGGGACCCTGCTTGTCATGAGCATTGCTCTAACCACTGAGCTATGGGACCCGGCCGAACCTAGAAGACGCTGACAGGTTTTTCACTCCAAAGGCAGCTCACAACACGTGCCACACATACTGGTGGCACTTGGGTCTTTCTCTCTCCCCCAGGGGACCAACCACGGTCAGTTTCTGGACCCTACCAGAAGTGAGAGAAAAGTGATACATTTTTGAACGGATTGGGAGAACTTCAAATACAAAGGATCAGTTGGGGTAGTGAACTGCCTAAAAAGAGAAAAAATCGCCAGACCCACCAGGACTCGAACCACAGTGGTTGGTCCCCTTGGGGAGGGAAAAAGACCCAAGTGCCATCAGTATGTGTGGCACGTGTTGTGAGCTGCCTTTGGAGTGAAAAACTTGTCAGCGCCTTCTAGGTTCAGCCTGGTCCCATAGCTCAGTGGTTAGAGCATTGCTTATGACAAGCAGGGTCCCAGGTTCGAATCCTGGTGGGTCTGGCGTTTTTTTCTCTTTTCAGGCAGTTCACTTCCCCGACTGATCCTTTGAATAATAATAATAATAATGAAACTCGGATGTTGAGCCATAAATAAATGTAGAAGAGAAAAGGACATATGGATACGAGTTAAGAGTAACTCTCCATCACTGTAACATGATACTTTATACAGTCAGAAAGTGCAATAACTAGGCACAAAACTGACAGAGTACTGAAACATTCGACATCCTGACACCTAGTTTCAACACATCTCCGTAGCGCTAACCGACAGCCTTCCAACTTGGAAGGTTCAAGGTTATGGAAAGACCAAAGAGGGGAATGTTACAGTGATGGAGAGTTACTCTTAACTCGTATCCATATGTCCTTTCCTCTTCTACATTTATTTATGGCTCAACATCCGAGTTTCATATTGCACACCTGATGAGCCGTCACGAACCATACGGCGAAACGTACGTCGTGTGAAACAACTTGTTTTGTAGTCAACTAGTCCATCACAATGTCATGCGTGAGGAGTACTGTAGGAGTTTGGATTTCGGCTTGTACAATTCGTTTTCGCAAAGCTTCCCTTTCTTTACTTATCTTTGATATTTATGACCCACCCAAGTTGGGTGGTGTGCTGCTTTGCTGCTTCGAATTGTAGTTAGACCGCTTTGTCAAATATCGTACTGGTCTCGTCATCGTCCAGTAACAATCGACATTCTTTGTTCCGTTGGGACTGTAGCTTTTGCTCGTTTTCGTTGCGCTTGCCTTCCCCTCTTTGGTCTTTCCATAACCTTGAACCTTCCAAGTTGGAAGGCTGTCGGTTAGCGCTACGGAGATGTGTTGAAACTAGGTGTCAGGACGTCGAATGTTTCATCACTCTGTCAGTTTTGTGCCTAGTTATTGCACTTTCTGACTGTATAAAGTATCATGTAACAGTGATGGAGAGTTACTCTTAACTCGTATCCATATGTCCTTTTCTCTTCTACAATAATAATAATAATAATAATAATAATATTAACTGGTTTGAGGGAAAGAGACAAACGGGAAAAAGTCTGAAGAAAAAATTGACTGTCACCACCAGGACTCGAACCAGGGACCCTCGCTTGTAGCCAGCGATGCTCTAACCACTGAGCTATGGTGTAGTCGTCATCCCAGCAGAGGCCGTTCAACATTTTCTTCAGACTTCGTAACTCACACTTCCTGTGAATCCACACAGGCGGGTGGGACGCAGCCCTCACTGTAACCCACACACTTCACGTACAAACTAGCACGCGGGGAGCCCCAAGTCATAAAATATTAACTTGTTTGAGGGAAAGAGACAAACGGGAAAAAGTCTGAAGAAAAAATTGACTGTCACCACCAGGACTCGAACCAGGGACCCTCGCTTGTAGCCAGCGATGCTCTAACCACTGAGCTATGGTGTAGTCGTCATCCCAGCAGAGGCCGTTCAACATTTTCTTCAGACTTCGTAACTCACACTTCCTGTGAATCCACACAGGCGGGTGGGACGCAGCCCTCACTGTAACCCACACACTTCACGTACAAACTAGCACGCGGGGAGCCCCAAGTCATAAAATATTAACTTGTTTGAGGGAAAGAGACAAACGGGAAAAAGTCTGAAGAAAAAATTGACTGTCACCACCAGGACTCGAACCAGGGACCCTCGCTTGTAGCCGGCGATGCTCTAACCACTGAGCTATGGTGTAGTCGTCATCCCAGCAGAGGCCGTTCAACATTTTCTTCAGACTTCGTAACTCACACTTCCTGTGAATCCACACAGGCGGGTGGGACGCAGCCCTCACTGTAACCCACACACTTCACGTACAAACTAGCACGCGGGGAGCCCCAAGTCATAAAATATTAACTTGTTTGAGGGAAAGAGACAAACGGGAAAAAGTCTGAAGAGAAAATTGACTGTCACCACCAGGACTCGAACCAGGGACCCTCGCTTGTAGCCAGCGATGCTCTAACCACTGAGCTATGGTGTAGTCGTCATCCCAGCAGAGGCCGTTCAACATTTTCTTCAGAGCTCGTAACTCACACTTCCTGTGAATAATAATAATAATAATAATAATAATAAACAGCTCGCATCTTCCCTGAACCTGTTAGACAGGAGCAGAGTCGACGCATCTGTCAACAGTGTCAAGCCAAGTCGACGCATCTGTCAACAGTGTCAAGCCAAGTAGAATTTATTAGAATTAACATTTTTGTTTCAGAACTAAATATTGCGACACAGCTTTCGGCCATATTTCCACTTTATCACATGGCACGTGATTGTTGCCCGTACTCCAGCGAATCAGCACCTTTCGCGCCGCGGGCAATAATATGCGATATTGCCCGCAAAAAAATAGTTTATTTGCCCGCAAAAAAATAGTTTATTTCAGTGATCGCGTGACTACGACGACTCTGTAGACTGTACGACTCTACGACGAGTCGCAGTGTAGCATTGAGACGAAGATGGAATTCTTTTTGGAGATGGACATCCCGGCAATGGACATGGCCTCGGACGTCTGCCGTGTGGTGCTTGCAGGGATCATTTGTTCAGTCATGTTGGCAGCCTGACCGTCGGTAAGCTTGTGGATAAGATTCAGTTCTGCTCGAAGTGGTACTGTGATCACAAACAATTATTTGAAATAACACAAATTCAACTCAGCGTCGTGCGTTTTCAAATCCTCGCAAAGTCACTGCCTGTGTGTGGTCTTCATGTGCCACGCAAAACTCTTACCAGGCTCATCTGTCCTCTGCCTTCACCTTTGCTTGAACAACAAACACAACAATTCAGGAATGTTTTGCAATGAAAAATACAGCTATCTGGAGCTGAAAAAAAGAAGAAAAATTGTCCTCAAAATTACACACCAGGGAGTCGTCAAATACTTGCACTTGTTGCAGTACTGTATTTGACAACTTCCTGATACACATGTAAACATGAAGAAAATCTTTGTGGTAGCACTCTTAATTTTTCAACTGAAATTATGATTCTGCTGTATTTTATTGTCGTTGCCATGTCTATTGCTATGACGATGCGGTGCCGGCACTTTTTTTCTGTCTCCGTCTTTCAGTACTGTATACTCTCTGATGGCCTGTAGCAGACTTTTTGTTAGGGTGTAGGAGAAATATCTTCATTTTTCCTGTTTTGATAATGATAGCACATCAATATACATTGTGGTCATAATGTGTTGGCATTTGGGCTAATTTCAACAGCAGCCCAATGGTCTGCTCTGTGGGCCATGTGATAAATTTGTTATCGCATGGTTGCTGCGGGCCTTATGGCATATTATTGCCCCTCGAGGTTAGCCCTCGGGCCTACGGCCCTCGGGCTAACCTCTCGGGGCAATAATATGCCATAAGGCCCTTGCAACCATGCGATAACATATACTTATTGCATTCCCAACCACGCGCTGTAAGCCGAACCATACAGACACCAGCAAGGACACTTCCGTTGAGAGATATAATATTGTTCCAAGCCTCTAGACAGCTGTTTCGCTCCCTGTCGGAGCTCATCAGTAGAGGATGATAATGATGATAATGGAGAAATGATCATTCTTTGACGTCGTCAATGTATGGCACCGGAAGAAACTACGTACCATCATTGGTATCACGTATCCACAACGAATCTCGAACACAGCGCTGTATGCCAGAACCGAGGAGACCCCACTAT